TAGGTGTACGTGGCTGGCGCCTTAGCCGGTTGAGCTATAGGCGCCAAGCCTAATACTTCTAAGGTATCTTATGACCCCCTGTCCGTCCAGCAGGGAGCACTTGTACCATGGAGGTAACAGATAGTATTGGTCTAATGTTCATTTTGCTAATGGAGAGCAAGACTTGACATGTCTGAGAATTTTGCCCACATGTTATATTTTCCCCAAAGATTTATGCATTTAAACCTTATCTTATAGCTGTGTCTATATAAAATAAGACCCATTCATTTAAAAACAAACAAGTAATTTTTAAATATCCTATAACACCCCCCTTCCCACTTAATCAATTGTTTTCCCAAGATTTAAACCTTGACCATCTATAACCCTAAAAGCTCTTGGATTTGGACAATTTCCCTCTGTACCTGAGGTTTAAACTAGATGAATAGAAGTGCAGATTTCATCTTTGGTCAAGGATGTTTTGAAATAAACACCAAAGAATAAGAATTAGGAATCTAAACAGAAGCGCCAGGATGAAAGCATTGTAGATATTATCTTGTTACAGAGGGAGGCTTAGACAAATGTAATTCTCAGCAGTGGTGTTTAAATGTATAAAGCCTTCGTGAAACACCAAAATGTAGCAGGTGAGATTTTATACAGCTCTAAATGGAACTAACAGTTACTTGTGTTTTCGTAAGGTTGCCTACAAGCAGAAGCACGGTGCCTCCAGGGGATTCTCGGATTACGCCCACATGAAGGAGCCGCCTGAGGTCAGACACGCCATGGAGGTCAATCAGCACCAGAGTAACGTAAGGGTCTTCCTCACGATTTTCTAGAAAACTGTAGTTAACCCACATCAGGGTTCACGGTTACCTTGATGAAATATCCGTATTACAGCGCCCCTATTCAAAAAGAACTGGAACATTTCTCAGAGGTACATCTGAGTTGCTCTGTGGACAGTCACAAGCACTCTGCAGAAAATGTTTACCTCATCAGGCTCTTTCAGACGTTGGGAGTTCTGCTCTGTACAACTCAAATATGGATCCTTTAGACATAACGGGCTATTAGCATTTCCAGACGTTCCTTGATTTTATTGACTGAAAAAAGTCCCAAAGTCTGTAAATTTACAAAGGAGACCTTATTTCTTGTAACAGGTTATAGCCAGCTTCCCCACAAGCTGGGAAGCAAGTCAGACACATCTGGGGGGTGGGAGGGAGAGGGCAGGATTTTACCCTGAATGCATTGGTCAAGTGTACATATTCAACAGCTTACAGGAGGAGCTATGAATATTTATGAAGGAGACCCACACACATGTGTATTAGGTTCGCGTGTGTTTAATGATCACTTTGGGGTGGAGGCTGAACATTGAAATGCATTATAATTAGTGTATGTAAAACTCACCATATGTCAGAAGGTGAGTTGTCAAGCACGGGTCTGTGAACCACACGTCCTCAGGAGACTGGCCAGAACCCGTCTACGGCCAGCAGTGTGTATCGCAAAGAAACTCTTTGTGATCCAAACCTATCATGTTGGAACCATAAAAATAGGAGGATGCTGGGGGTGGGACGAAGGTAGCCAAGAAGTCTACTGGCCTTCTGTTCTTCTCACATCAGCTTTTTATAAAATCTAGTAATGATGAGTAAGGGGAAGGGGTGGTGGGGTGGGAGCCAATGAATTGTGGACAGCCTCTGTCCTGTCACGGCTGGGAAATTAAAACTCGGGGAGGGGGTCTTTTAGCCCAAAGCGGATCCTTTAGTTGTTGGAGGGAATGAGGGTAGGACTTTTATTTCAACCCTTTGGTTGATGCCTAAGCTCATTCTAACCTAGAATCACAGAAGAACTGAAGTAAAGAGCATCAGAAATGAGTGTCCCATGGAACGATCATCTGTGAACGCTAGCTAGGTGGTGCCCTGCTCGAAATTCTTCTGGAATGCCATGGGGAGCAAACTCTCGGACTTGAGTCCCGTGGGGAACATGAAAGCAATAGGTTGGCTTAGAGAGAAGCCCGGACAGAGGAAGTTATCCTGGGGAAAACACATTTCTCCTTTGGTGATAAGTTTTCAGGTACCTGGAGGCTTTCATGCATTTGCTCAATTACCATCAGCATCCTGGTAGCCTAGAAGAGGAATTTCTTCTTGAAATAGTGGGGGAAGCTTACGTGTCACCTCATCATGATTTCTCTGTTCTCCAAAAGGATCGTGTGAACTGTCGGGTTCTTTTTCAGGGTTAGAATCAGTTAATGACAGTGTTTGTCCTAGTTGAGTCCAGAAACTCCCTCTCATGGGGAAGTGCCTGGAGCCCCTTTGTCATTCCCGGTGTCCAGGCCACCACTGGACAGCATTGCTTGCTCTGTCCCTCGGAGCCTCCCTTGAGCAGAGCGTCTCTTTGCCGGATGGCGACAGATATTTGATACTAAATTATTATCGGTCAATGTTTTAAGTAAAGACGAATGCGGTTTTACGTTTTAACTCATGTGTATACACAGTACTAAAGCCCTTTTCCAAGATGGTTTAAGATTACTCGGAGATGGAGCCGCTGCATCTCTGTAATTATTTTAAGGGTTGTTTTAAGGGGATGCTGTTTGCTTACAGAGTGACTGTAATAATCATAATAACTGCCACTTACACAGAGCACATGCCACTTAGCATGCATCAGGAGCAGACTTTGATCGTTTCCAATTCTCACAAAAACCCTGTGCTGATTCCCATTTTGTAGATGAGCAAAATAAGACGAAGGAATCGGACCCCCAAGTCTGCCCTTTCTGGTATGCCTTGTGGCCTCCCTCATAAAGAGGTGGCGAATCAAGATTTTCAGTGAAATTTTAAAAAATGGGAAGCAAAATAGGTTATCTTCAGAATTCAGATGCACTGCAGGAAAGAATAACCAAGAAACCCCAAGCTCCCACTATTTTGATGCTGAAGATACTCTGAATTCACACAAAAGTCCGTGGTGTGGAAGGCGGTCGGGCAGTCTGGAATGGGGGCTGGTGTTACACAGATCCCAGGGAGGCTCCGTCTAACTCTATAATTCAATGAAATTCAAATACAGAAGTTCCTTATCATAGAACTGGGCTTATTATTTTAACTCTGCCTTTTCTTGTAAAAGGTCTTTGATTGAGGGATTGAGGGAATAGAATATAAAGCCCTTTTCTCCTTCCTTCAATACTGTGTACTTATGGGAGAGAGATGTGTTTACTTATACCCCTCAGCCGACTCGGCTCAACCTTTACATGCAAAGTTTGTACATATAATAGGATTTGGAAAGTGTTTAAGACTATTTACTCAGATTTAAAGTGAGAATGATATTTGTATTCTACCTGTGAAGTAGTTGATATTCCTCTAGAGCCAAGCAACTTAGAATAATACATTTGTTGTCCCTACAATATGAAATTTAAACATGGTTTTTGAGAGCCACAAGGAAAACTGGTACCTCTTTTTAGTTGAGGGGGCGAATTGACAGTATCTGTGTAAAAGACAGTCTCCTATAAATCTGTCTCTCATAAAACTTCATCCAGTGAAACACTGCAGAGAATTTACTAGTAGAATTACCCTTTTATAATGTGAACCATCACTTGGCACTGGGGCAGTAAATGACTTAATTGAACCTAAACTATAAATGTGTCATCACTTATGAATCCCATTTACCTCAAAGCAAGGAAAGTCCGCATCTTTGCTTACCATTTCTTTCCACCCAAATCAAGTCAGCTTTCTAATATTTGTTAGAGAACCAAGATTTATTTTCTTTACACCTTCAGTGATGGGATTTAACAGAAGAAGATGATAGGAGAGAATTCGTTGTGACTGTCCAGCTGAATTCTCACCTTTGCATAACAGATCTCTATGGGGAAGAGTATTCTGCAGGCGTTAGACTTTTGGGTCACCCCAAATTTCATGAGCCTCAAAAAGGAAAAATAAATGTTTCTCAGAATATCTTCCACCGTAGCGTGCACTACAAAAGAAGTTTGGAGTCAGATCATGGCTGACGTTCTTGCTTTGCCGCATGTTGCCTAGATGACCTGCCTGACATCTCTAGACCTCAGTTTTCTCATCTGTAAAATGGGACAACACTATGTACCTCATAGGATTATCACAAGTATTAAGTGAGATAATACATTTAAAGGGCTCCGTGGAAGAGGACCGCCATAAAATGTTAGCCCTACGTGGTTCTCCTTCAGTTTTTAAAGGGTGACTTGAGAGTTTGGTGTGAAATCGTAGCTAATCCAAAACAATCAAAAGAAGTCTAATTTATAAAAGGCCAAATCAGTATGAAATTTGTATTAGGAAATGGTTAGGTCAGAAGGACATAGTCAAAACTTTCCTGAACCTGTCTTGTTCATACTATAATAAAAAAAAATGATTAAAACCAGACAAAACCTAAATCCTTCATTTGTATCTTCAGGGACGCACCTCTGCCAAATTTTTCTAATGTAATCAGAGAAACTAGAGCTATTCTCTCCTGTGACTTTCCCCTACAGATGGGCTTATAATGAAAACCCCAGTTACATTATTAATTCTCATCAATCTTAGACGTGGAACCCAATAGTTCTGAAGTAGGTTAAACCCATTTTAAACTGCCATTTTGCGTTTCATAAGTAATGTGTCTGTATAGGCTTGTGATGAACTTGGAGTGGCAAACTTTTCCAAAACGCCATCTTGGTAATCAATTCAATGTGTATTAATAAGTATTCAGCATGGAAAACAGGAGACGTAATGTTCTTTTCAAGAATGATGTATGTACTTTCTTCAAATTAATAAAAACTTATCAGTAGACAAAATTTCTGTTCCATCAGAAAGTAAAAAAGCTTAAAGATAAATCAGTAAAATGATGCTGGGAAAACAACCAGGGTTCTCTGTGGTTCCTCGATGTGGGTTATAATAATGGTGCTTAGTATTAAAAATACATTAAGGTTTTGTTCCTATCTAGGACCCCATAGTAATGCTTACTCTGCCTTCTCTGTGAGATGGCCGGGGTAACAAAACGAAATCGTGAATAAGAAAACTTTTATGAACTCTAAAATAATTTATAAACAAGGATCACGATCACAATGATAAACCGTTCTGGCTGTGAAGTGATATTTTACTCCACCTTTTAGAAGATTGAAAACTTTCCTGTCTTCTGAATAGTATCAGATGCTACGTTTACTTATAATGAAAAGACTTATGTTCTATTGTAGAAAAATAATATTTACAATTTAATAATTTAGTATGTTTTTATGTACAGCATTCCCAGATGAAGAGAACTATCCTGAAAGATAGAATTCCCAGGCCACGTGCCCCTTTGATGTTACCTGGAAGGCTCTTCTAATGTGAGACTTTACAATGCTGAACAACATTTCCTTGGGATTGAGCCAATGCGTTAAGATTATAATTACATACAGGTTATATTACTTGCTCTTGTTCCATAAACTTCAAGGGTTAGTCTAGTTTTTTCACCCCAAGAATCATGTTAACCCTCAGCTAAGTAGCAAAGGGGTGGGGATTCTGGGTCAGTTGGATTTGCTGTCTGTAAGGTCGGCTGCCTCAAGCTGCCTGCAGCCCCCACAGCTGGCTGGCTGGCTGTCTGTGGCTGGCTTCCCAGCTGCCATTCCTGAGCTCAAGCTTCTCATCTCCAAGTACGTGGCTTTCACTTTAAGGACAATCTGGGGAGGCTTTGCTTTTCTCTAGTTTTTTAACTCACCTACCGAGGACTCTTAAATTACTGTGTACAAATATAAAAGGCTCACTGAGTGGCCACTGTGATTCCTTTCACTGTACACACGCTTCTGGCTATACCTTCAGAATAAAGACATCCATTTCACTTCTCTTACATGAGTTCCTCTTAGTGGCCAAGTTTAATCTAGAGCTATGGTAGGAAGAGATTCTGGAGGCTATGGTTCAAGCCTTAGAAGGCAGCCTTGATGGAGCCCAGTTGTGTGCAGACAGTTTGCACCATTAGGGACGGGGGTGAGGATTTTATGAAGTGATGCGTGTGGAGGATGACGTGGCACAGTGGACACTGCACAAACACAGGAAACGTGCAAAATCCACAGCTCTTATGAAACCAGAAGTCGAAAGATTATAAGGAGAGAGCAAGCTGAGATGAAAATATGAGCTGAGGGTGGAAAGGAACATGGGGAGATAAGGAAGAAACTCAAAGACACATTTTGATGGAATTAAAATCTTCATTGAGAGCAATGAGGAAAAGATTTGACGCTGTGGAAAATCATGAAATGGAGGCCACGGTATTCAGAACACTCAGCAATATATGTAATGCAAGTTCAAGTGAAAAATGAGAATTTATTAGTTTACTCAATTGGAAAATTCAAGCTACCATCAGGCATAACTGGACCGAGGGGCTTCCCAGTGTTACCAGGGCTTTCCCTCTGTCCCCTTCTCAGGCCTGGGCTGCGTACGACACTTCTGTGCAACTCTGTCTATGTGAACGTGAGTCAGCAACTTATGCTTCCAAACTTACATCAACCTGACAGCAGCTGAACCTGGAGAGGAGAACGGCTCTTTCTCCTCCAGCCTCAGATCCTCCACTGACTTTGGCCATGTCTGGGTGATGCATCTGCCCTGTCATTAATGGGGTGTCTGATTGGACAGCCTGAGTCACATGGCTACTCCTGTTGCCAGAAGGTGGGCGCTCACCTTGCCAAATCCCACGAGTGAGGAGGGAGCAGTTTCTAAATTAAAAAAAAAAAGGATGGAAAAAAAATCAACATGTGTCACCTACAAAGGGACTATTTAGGAAGATGACCCAGGTACTTACACGGAAAAGAGCAAAGAAATGAAGTTCAGCGAAATAAAGACAAGGAACTGATCAAACAGGCAAGGTTATTTCTGGATAAAACTGTTAAAAACTCAAGTAGATCATCTTGAGTACAAGATAAATGTCTAAAATTTATCTTGATCATTGACGGTCACGTGAGAATTATTTTTCCAGTGCAAGACCCATAGAACAAAATGATGAAACTTCACTGGAGGGTAGAATAGATTGAATGAGATGGAGGACTAGATCATCATCTAGGAGAAGACCGAAATACTGTTCAGATTTCATTTGTTCCTAAGTCATTTTACTCATTTCCTTTGCAGAATTTACTGAAATTATTCTTTTTCTAAGAATAAACAGTTAAAAATTAAGAAATGGATGAGTTTCTTAACTTGTCCAAGTTGGGAATGGACGAGTAGTAGGGGAACTTGGTTTAATGGATATTAGGACATAATGTCCAAAACGGACATTATTATTGATATTACTATCTTCTCTTCCTTCTCCTCTTCCTCTTACCTTGTCTTCTTTTCCTCTTCCTAATAAAACATTGAAGAAAATAACCTGTGATCAGTCTTTGACCTTCAAGCTTGCTCTCATCCTGGGTAGATGATTTTCCAGAAATCTCTTCCTTCCTTCTTCTTCTTCAAAATCATGTTGTACAGAACCCCATGTTGTCATGGGGAGACTGAAGAATGGAGGCCAATCTCTGGTTCCCAGGTGGTTGGCATTTAGAGATGGAATCTAGGAAACAGAAAAAAAAATGCAGGGGGTACCAGGAAAATGGATACAAATTTTAAGAAAGGAAAAAAGAAAGTGTTAAAGTTGTAATACTCAATATATCATTCAACAAAAGATGAATACAAGTCACCTTGAGCACCTCTTGTAATTGCAGAAATCAGATGTGACTTGAGTATTATAAATTTAAAATAATTTTCTTCCTTTCTTAAAATGTATGTCCATTTTTTTTGGCACCCTCTGTGTGTGTCTATACTTTGTCTTCCAAGCGTCTCCTCTAATGTGTAACATTTTTGATTCCTCTGGGGCAGACATGATTGGGAAATGTCAGATGAGATGGCCTCACACCCAGGAACCGGTTAGTTGTAAGAAGATGAGTCATCTGCTCAGGAGGCCGTGTTACCACCTGTGTTCAGACATCTTTGCAGACAGTGGAATCGAGAGCTTGCTGCTCTTGGACGTCCCCCAGCACAAGCCCTCTCTCCTGTGATATGTTCCCCAGGAGCCACATGCTGGAAGATGTGACTGGGCATCAGGCTCTTGTGCTTTTCCCCTGCGTGGCTTCGTTGGGTCCTCTTGTTTGAATTTGCAGCTCATGTCAATCTTAATATTTGTTTTGAGTCACATATGCTGGCCTCTAATTTGCAATTTACATGGATGATGGGGCCCTATTCAAAGCCCTGCTCCTGCTGCCTTTGTGCTGTTCACCTCTCTCCACGCAGTCATTAGACTGAACAGCATATAATTAGGTAACCCGTGGAAAGCGTGGATTTCTGAAAGGTTGCCGTTCTTTTCAGAAAGTAAGGGTTTCCATGTTATACCCTCATTCTTTCCTAAACAAAAAGACATTTCCCCCCTGTCGTTTTCCTATGAATGTAGTAACTTAGAAACAGTTAGTCCTGTAGGTGGGTAATAATTTTGGTTTGTTTTCACCTGAGAGCCGGTTTTTGTTTACACAGTTTGTATTTAACTCAGCGTAGGCTGAGGTTGAATCGCTGTCATTTGCTGTCATGAGTGTGTTGCTTTTGGAGGCCACTGAAATTGGCCTGCATTAAAAATCCACACAGAATGGAAATCCACCCAACAAAATAACTCGGCGTCCAGCTTCTTTTGATGGTTCTTTGACTACCTGGATGCATAAAGCCTACCTGAAATGACTCATTAAGGTAGACCATGAAAGTCTAAGTAGGGAAGAAAACAGATGTTCTTGCTGAAATTATAGTAATTGTGGTTAAGCTGTGTTCACTTGTCAGATTCCTGATCATAAATTTAGTTGAAAAAATAGTCATGGGGATGAGGCAGGTATAAGCTCACAAAGAATCAATAGAAGTGTCTTTAAATCTTTCATTGAAATGATAGAATGCAGAGAAGTCTCTTGAAGAATTAATTCATCGTCATTTCTTACACCTGATACTATTTTTGAAGGAACTAAGAAAAGTGCACATTTTTTAGTTCTGCAAAGTGGAAAGGACAATGATAGGGTACAGCAGTGGGGCCCAGAACACTGGTTCGTAGCAGTTCACTGGGGAATTCATTAAAATCAGACTCTTAGGCCCAAGTGCCAAAATCCTGTCACAGAGGAGTGTGGATGGACCTTAGGAATCTGAATTTCTCAGAAGTACCCCCAGAGGGTACTATTGGAGGAAAGTTTGCAGGGGACATTAGAAATACTTGTTGTGTACAAGATGTAATTATTGTAACCGTGCATTTTGCACAGATGCCCAGCAGTATATTTCTGTGTTCTACCTTTTTATACTCTGAAAAAATGAAGTTGGGTTTTAAAAATGCGCATCCTTACACACCTTGCATCATGAATTTAGCAGTCGGTCCCTGGGGGATTGCCAGGTAGAATCACCTTTGACAAATACTGCTTCAGCTCGTGACAGATCTCAAGAAACAGCCAAGCAGAAGGACTGGTGAGATGTTGACCATGGGACATTATATGGGTTCAATTCTGGCCTCTCTTCCCGCTTGGCAGTTGAGTTAACCTAAACGACTAATGCAACTTACAATACATTTGGCAAATGTATCTCTACTTGTCATACTTTAAATCTCTACTTTCCATGGTTTGACTCACGCCTAATACACAGTCAGTGGTAGAATATTCCTTAATGTAGTAGTTTTTACTTTGGGAGTATCAAGTCCTTGCAGTGATATTTATTAGGTGGTAGAACTAATGGTGTCCAAGACTATGTCTCCTTGTGCTAGAACTTGAAAAGTCCTGAACTTGAAGGGTGTCATTGAAAGGGCAAAAGCTGGAGAATTACAGAGTTGCATCACCCTCTCCCCAAGGGAAGTGATTTTCAGTATTGTTGTGCTGAGCCTTATCTTGAACCCAGGGGGAGTTGAGACTCCGTGATGGGCAAGGTGAGGTCTGTATGTAAATATAAACATATATACTTTGACAAAAGACATGCTAATGAAGTGTATAAAATCCTTACAGATTGGTTCTGTGCTTCATTCTTTGGCTTATATTTTTTCCGTAGTACAAATTCAGTTTGAACATATTAATATCAGTGAGACCTATGTATAAAATAAACAGTTAATGTGCAGGTATCTATGCAAATGAATGCTGTGCCAAAGAAACAAAACAAAAAACCCCCAGCAAACGGAAGGTCAGTAGACTCTCTTGGCGAGGATAAATAATGTTAGGGGCATGAAGGCTAGTTAGCCATATTAAGTCACTAATTTGTTTTTTCTTTTTTTCAACCCAAACAATCTCTGTTCAGATTTCTTATAGAAAAGATGTGCAGGACGTCCACACGTACAGTGCGGAGCTCGGCAGACCGGATATCAAGATGGCAACTCAGAACTCCAAGATCATAAGCAATGTAATTTCTCTTTCTTAATCTTGAGCAGAAATGATTTTTTTTTTAAATTTCATATTAAAATGAGGGTTCAAATGATTAGGTGACCATGTTTGCATTTGTTAGGTTAGGTCCCTGTTGTGGTTGTGTCCTGCACCCAGGAGGTCCTTACATCATGTCTATTACTTGGAAGCACATCCAGATTGTTATTTTTGTAGGAGGGAGAGCACAGCTTTGGTAATTGGAGGGTTAATTTAATTAGCGTCATAGTCTGAATTAATGCTATCTCAATTTCCCCTCCTCAGTTATCCCTTTGATTATGTTGATTATTTTGGGATACGCAGAAATGACCCTAACTCAACTTGACTGTAGCTAGTGTAACCAAACGTTCAGAGAAATAAGTATTATTTTGGAATAAGATCGCATCAGATGCCCCAGCCTAAAAGTCAAGGCAGTTGGTCATCTGGTCCCATGTAACCTCTCAGTGAGCCCACTGTGCGCCATAGACCTTCTTCTGGACTCCTTTCTATTTTGCTGCTGGTAATCGTACAGATTTTCTTTCACCAATGCTTACCCACATGTCATGGCTACTTCTTGCTTTCTCTAAGATGCCCTCCTAGACTACTACCATTTTACTTAAATGTAAAAGCCAGGGTAAAAATGATGATTTAACTTGAACCAAGTATTTGCGTCATATAGGCCCAACCCACTTGCCCAAATCATCAGTTACTAAATTCCACTGCGTGGCAATGAAACATGGTCAGACCATTTCCTGAAAAATAAACAAAACCACAAAACCTACCTGTATTCATTAGAATGCGGGATCTCCATTATCCGGAGATTTTCTTCCTAATATTTTGTGTCAGTATTTATACGTAAGTACAAAGACGGTGATGAGTGAATAGAAAGCCTCAAAATTAGTAATGATTTTACTACAAAAAGTTGGATTTATTTAAATCACTATAGGATAAAATCAATGCCTTCTTTAGCAATCATTTTAGCGTTTGGCGTATTATAAGGAATTTTTTTTTAATGGGCTGAGGATCTATTATATTTTATTTGGCTAATGTCAATATAATTCTTCTTTGGAAAGCAGAAAAATGTAATAGTCTCCTTTTTTTTTTTTTTTTTCATTTTAGGCAGAATACAAGAAAGGGCAAGGGATAATGAATAAAGAGCCTGCTGTAATTGGAAGACCCGATTTTGAACATGCTGTGGAAGCTTCTAAACTTTCTAGTCAAGTAAGACTCTCATGATGATTCCACAATGACTTTATTCAGAGATTCTGTTTCTAGCAGCACGGGAAAATGCTTCATTTTAGATCATATCTTTAATTGTAAGAATAAACAGAGATAATGTTTCTGAATGCATTTCAGATGGGATTGTTATAATTACGAATTTCAGGAAAGGGAAAAAAAATATTAAGTCTAATTCTAAGCATAAAACAAAGTTTTCTTTTCTCCAGGGTCAAATCTGAACCTGCTTCAGTGCGTTTGGCCATGGGGTCCACATTTTCTTGGATTTCCAGAGGCCACCAATAGTCACGCTAAATAATTGTATTTTTATCTATACGCTTACAATTTTTAACTGAGTAATACGTGATTTTTCCAATTTTTGAATACTTGAATCACAAAATTTTAAAAAGGTGATGAAAATGAAGAAAAATTTGAAATCTGATGAAGAAAATTTTGAAGTCTATCGAGAACATAAAGTAAGATCATAAGACGTATAAAGACATACCATGTTTTAGGCTGAAACTACCAATAGATAAAAATTTCTTCTCCTGTAATTATCATATACTACGTAAATGCTATGCTATTTTAATGAGAATCCAACAGGGCTTTTTTTTTTAAATATATATAATACTGATGAAATGATCTTACCGTTTGTCTGAGAATAGCCTTTAAAAGTATGAAAAATCAAGATCAATAAAAGGGAATGTAAGTTACAAGTTATCACAAAATACTAGAAGACCACTGGAATTAATCAACATGGGATTAGTACAGCCAGAGATAACATAATAAGTAGGATAGAACAGAGTCCTGAAATAGATTCTAATAAGTGTAAGGATTTAATATATGGTAACAGCGTTGATTCAAGTCAGTGGGAAAGGCTGGGTTAGTTAATAAACGGTGCTGATAACACAGTCCCATCCATCATGGTAAAAGCAAAATTGGACCCAAATCTTAAGCCATGTACAAAAATGAATTCCAGGTGGATTGACAATGTGAATACAAACTGTAAAATTATTTTAAAATCCTAATGGAGCATTCAGGAGACTCTATATACCACCTCGGTATAATGGCCTTGTTCTTAAACAAGACCAGAGATCCAGAAGCTGTAATAGGCAGGTGTAGTGATTATACGAAAACTTTGTAATGGAAAAGGTAACATTTGCCAATCAACAATAATGTTACCATGTAGTAGTTTCTGTCCATTTATAGCGTTTTCCACTTTGAAAACCTCCATTTCTCAAGTTGCAAAAGTCTTATTAAATTACATTTCAAAATGGAGAGACATAAATGATGAAAGGCATGAAATCTATCTGAAAAACATAAAGTTTGAAGAGATGAAAAGTTACCACCTTAACTATATTATGCTCTTGAGAGTGTTGATACTTGATGTCATAAATGTGTTAATTCTTTCAAGTTGAGTTTTGAAAACCCCATGCAATTCCCATCGGAATGGAAACAAGGTTTTAAAAAATTTAAATGAAATTAAATATTTGAATAAATTAAATAAGATAGAGTTTGTACTCAGAAGGGTGTGTCTTTGAATAGTTTTTTTTGAAATATATAAAAAGGAAGAGCAGCAGTCTTGATGTATTTGGGAACGTATTCATGATGCCCATGATGAGAACATTTTAATATCTGTCATACACAGAAGTTCCTTAAAATAGAAATAAAAAAGGCTAATAATCCCATAGAAAAAGGGACAAATGTGGTAAGTAGACAGTTCACAGGGGTGGAAATGTAAATGGCCAGTAAACCAATAAGTTGGTAAAAAGATGCTCAAGCTTCTTAGGAAAAAGAGATTTGCTGGTACACTGAAAGCAGAATGCTATTTACGCCCACTGATTCTATGACTTTTAGTGCGGAGGAGAAGGACTTGGATGGTTGGAAAGGTTTTGTGAAGGAGGTAGGCTCGAGCTGAGTTGCATTTAAAGGGGGGAGAAAACTCTACTCAAGGGAAAGTCCCCAAATGAAGGCTCGGAATGAGAATGTCACGGGACAGCAAGCTCAGACTGGAGAGGCTCAGAGTGAGAGGGGGTGGTTGTGAACACACACAGGTGTTTGGGAGTTTAGCTGCTGTGCCATGATGGATGGGTCAGTGTTGGTTTGATTTTGGTGATGGGCTGTTACTTAGCAGAGGAGGACTGCTTTGTTGTTTTATAGGTATTTTTCCAATATTTTTATTTTGATGAAATACATTTAAAATATACCATCTTAATTTTTTTTTACTCCAGAATATTAGGGGGTACACATGTTTTGTTTATGTGCTTTGCTGTTGTACAGATTGAATCAGAGTTATAAGTGTGCCCTTGCCCCAGTAGTGTGCAGGGTACGCAGCAGGTGTGAATCTGCCCATCTCCTCCTCCCCTGTTTCCCCCAGCTTGATGTTCCTGGAGATTCACTTTCATATGTGCACTGAAGTTCTGACTGGGTATTGCATCTTAACCATTTTTAAATGGTATTAAGTACATTTATAATGTCATGCCACCATCACCACTGTCTGTCTTAAGGACACCTTTCCTCGTGTAGAAGTGAAATGCTATACTTATTAAATAATAACTCTCCATTTCCCCCCTTTCCGGAATAGTGAATTCTGTAAAAGAAAAGTAATATCAGAATGTAATCATGGGAGCGTTTTAGAGTTGAACTCCAATAAGAAAATACCAGAAGTATTTATGGCCATGTTAACTATAGCGCCTTATGTAAGAAATAAATAATTGCTGAAAATTTGAAAGAAAAAGCATATATATGTAGTTATTTTTTCAAACATTGAGGTTAACAAGGAGTTATTTTTGATCCTTTTTTCAAAGATCACTGAAAATTTTGAGCAAAGAAAGATTGTTAAGAAAAATAACCACTTAAGGAAGGTAAGTGTAGCAACACAGGGCAGGAAAAATCTGGCTTTTGAAAGAGGCGTAAGTCCCAGAGGCCAGCGGGGCGGTGACGGAGGTAAACCACACATGAAGTGATCAGGCCTGAACAGGTTTACCGGCCACGAAGGTGAAACTGAGCAGAAGGAAGAGCTCCGTGTGAGAGGCAGAGAGGAGAGTACGTTTATTACCCAAATGTCATCAATCTCACGTTAATTGATTGACAGATTACAAGGTGCTTTCACTTTGTGACTCTGGAGGCACAAGAGATTGGGTGACACTCTCTTTAAAGATGGATGTGACGCCAAGCTCTTCTTATTCCAGATAATGCTACTGAAGAGGAAGGGGACATGGGTATTGCTTTAGATGTCCAGCGTAGCTACACGACTTCTTGCAACTTCACCATTTTCTAGGGACAAAGTGTCCCCATCAATTGCATAGGAGAGGAAGCAGGTTCTGGAATAGTGTGGATTAGGCAGTGGTTAAGAAAAGGGGCCTTAGAACAGGACCATGGCATTAAAATCCCTGTTTTGTTGCTTGCCAGCAGAGTAACCTTGGACAAATTGCTTGATTCCTGTAACTTCAGTTTTCTCATCTATAAAATGGGAATGACAGCAATAGTATCTCCTTCTTAGGGTTGTTTCGAAGGTTAAATGAGTTACTATAAGTAAAACACTTAAAAAGGTGCCTGGCCCACAGAAAAAATGACATAATTCTAAAGGAATGATTTTACTGTAGATATTCATGATAGTTTTCTAGTCTACACTTTCAGATGAATTCATTTATGGAATGAAACAAGAACAGGAAGGCTGGCTCTTAGATTCTGGTTTTAAATTCATTGCATCATAATCCTTTTTGACAGATCCTAGGAGGAAATTTTGATACCTGAGCTTTTATTTTTACATTTCAAATTCAGTCCACAAAAATCCTATCATTTGATCCCCACTTGGGCTTTTAAACAGATTTTTCTTTTTTGATCTCCAATTATTTAGTCACTGAGTGATCAGATGCTTAAGCAGATTGTAATTTGCAAGTTACGTTGTAGCTATCATCATTATTTTCCATGACATTCTTACTGACCTTATGGTGTATAAACTTATCAGAGGAGGGGAAAGTTGGGCAGATGAATAAACAGGATTTCTGGAAAGAACTTGGTTTGTTCCATTTGTATATATATATATATATATATTTTTTTTTTTTTTTTGAGACAAAGCCTCAAGCTATTGCCCTGGGTAGTGTGCTGTGGCGTCATAGCTCACAGCAACCTCAAACTCCTGGGCTTAAGTGATTCTCTTGCCTCAGCTTCCCAAGTAGCTGGGACTATAGGCACCTGCCACAATACCCTACCATTTTTTGGTTGTAGTTGTCATTGATGTTTGGCAGGCCCGGGCTGGACTCGAACCTGCAAGCTCTGGTGTATGTGGCTGGCTCCTTAGCCGCTTGAGCTACAGGCGCCACCTCCATTTGTATTTTTAGGTGTATCAACTAGAAATAATGGCAGAAATTGCAGTTTCTTGGACAACTTTGAACTTTGGGTCCTCTCTTGCTTCTAAACTAACAACAGAGGCACATAAATGCATGGAAAGAAAATGATTTAGGAATTTAATAAGCAGGAAAACAGGTGGGGGGGGGGGGAAGAAAAAGATAGTGCCAGAAGCATTTTGAGAGAGGAGGCAATGGTCACGGTATATACGGGTGGGACTTGTCTGAAGACAACGCTGACCAAGTAGTCAGGGTTCTCACAGATCACCTGTAAATAGAGCTCTATCGAATATTACCTGGAACAGGTCATAGAGACACATATGAAATCCTTCTTACGTTAACTTGTAAAACAGCTTTGCTCCCATAGCCATAATCTCTCCCTTTTTAAATTTAGAAGACACAGAAAATGATAGTAAGGTCATTAAGAACGATTAGTGAAAAAATAAAAGGAGAATATCATGGGCCAAGAAAAAGAGATTGACATATATGGATCCCAAAGGTAAATATATCATTGAAGTCAATATCTTAAAAAATTCGCCTGGCATCTTATTCCTTGGAATTAGTCTTTGTGATGAATGAATTCTTTGTTTAGTTTCGTGACTTCCAGAAAAAGCTACGTACTGTACATATAACCATTAGTATTTGTTCTGGAAGTACATTTGTTATATTGATAAGAATGGATCTTAACCTGCAAATGACATCATAGATAGCTATGAAAAAGAGGAATAAATACATGTCCTTAGAATGTAAGGGGTAATAATTGGTTTGGAGAATCTCCTATTCTCCCTTCCCGGCAAACCCTCCCTCCGCCAACCTCCTCACACCCAAGTATCAGCTTAAATGTCACATCCCTGACTTGCCAATTTCAACGGGGTCTCTCTCCGTCTCCTTTATTCTCTGCTCATCTTTATAGTGCTTGACACAATCTGTACTAGTTGTATATATCTGTGTGGTGGGTTTCAAATGTTTACTTACTTATCACATGGTGTGGAGACAGGGCTTAAATGCCTTTGATACGCCGTTATGGAGTCATACAGATTAGGCTGCCAGTAAATATACAGGGACTGATTAAACACATTTTTCTCGGGATCATTAGCATTTACGAAGTCAGTAAGATTTTGTAAAAAAAGAATGGAGATAATCCATACAACATTCAGACAAAAAATAATACTGATTTTATAATGAGTTCTATGTAAAAGTCTGTACTATTTTCCTTGACAGCTTTCAGTTTAATTTCATCCAGATTTGGAGAGAATTGATGCCTATAGATAAGTATTGTTGTCTCCCTTGCTTACTTTTTACTTTTAATGATAATTGAGGTCCACTTATTCAATTTTCCATTTCTTTCCTGACATTTGCCTATATGGCTGTCATGTAGAGTTTTCATTCAGGATCTGCTGTTTGTCTGTTTTTGGGGGCTTTTGCTGATGTCAGTGTAGGGTGCTGCACACCTCATGGTGAAAGCTTTAACTTCGGGAATTGGAAGTCGGCTTCACACCACGGAGACACCGCTCTGTCCAGATCAGTTAGGAGGAGCTAGTTTGAATGTTGTGACTGTATCTTAACAGCCCCAGTGTTTTTTCCAAAGTTGAGCCTCTGAGCGTCCTGCTAAGCATGTTAAAATTCTGAATCACATTTTTAGGAACTTGATCTCATCTACCTACAGAGTATTATAAAAAATACAGTAAACATCAGGACCACTGGCTTTGCTGTTCATAATATAAATGAATCAATCCCATGAAGTAACTTGATTTGTTTCCAGAATAATTGACCTAGTGTTTTTTTAATTTCAGGATCTTAGGGGTTACACATGTTCTTTTTACTTACTTTATTTTTATACAAATTGAGTCCAGGATATAAGCAGGCCCTCCACCCAAACAGTGTACACCATACCCAATAGGTGTGAATTTATCCATCCCCTTCTCCCCCTTCTCCCAGCTTGGTCTTCATTGATTCATTTCCAAATGTGCACTTAAGTGCTGATTGATCAGATCCACACTGCTATTGAGTACCCGTGTTGGGTTTGCCACTTCTGTGATGTTTCACTTAGTTGTAAGGAGTAACATTGCGTCTTAAAGCCACAACAAAGTCACCTAACACCTAATTTTCTCTCATGCAGTCTTAAAACCAGGGGGGATGGGCTTTGCTCTGTGGTTGGGTAACTAGGTAGGGTCAAGGAAAATCATTGCTTGGAGCTCTCTCGGGAGATGCTCGAAGATGCTCAAATGTGTGAACGGAAGGTTGAAAATAGGATAAAATGTTGAGTGTATCTGTATCGTTATTGAGTGAAACAGAAGATAAGAGATGTAACATGTTTTAGCCAGTTATTTTCTTAGTTCATTTCTGTGCTTACTTACACAAAGAGTAAGAAGCAGCGGTGGGTCAGTGCCTGGTCAATGTATTTTTTTTTTTTTTTTAATATAATGCAGTTTGTGGTTAATTAATGAGGAAAATTCTTGTGTGTTTGTTCCCTAGGCACCTTGGAATCAAATCACTTAGAGAATTGAAGTTTAGAATAAGCTACATCTCACCACACATTGCTTCTTGGTACATTCAGGATACGAATGACAGATTTATTACTGTTTCTCAGAAATATACAGATGTCTGCGACTTCTAATGGTGTGACTCGAGATTTTTCAACTTTACCCTGGTGTGAAAAGTGAAACACATTCCCTAGAAACTGTGTTTTGAGTATTCATGCCACAATCTTGTTTTTTTACTTACAACACAGTATTTGGTAATTTACATGAGATGTTCCTCACTTATGAAATAGGCTTGGGGTTAGATGATTTTGTGCAGTAGTAGGCTAGGGTAAGTGTTCTGAGCGTGGTTAAAGTAGGCGAGGGTAAGATACGATTTTCCGTAGGTTAGATGTACTGTTACAAATGCATTTTCAACCTAATGATATTTTCGACTTATGATAAGTTTACTGAGATGAAACCCCCTTGTAGATCGAAGAATATCTGTACATTTAAATCAAGCAAATGCCTGATTTAAGAATAAAAAAGAACAATTTCAACTACCCTATGGATCACCTCTGCTCCTAGTGTAGAACCCTCTGCTGGGTGCTCTCTCTGCACAGTTTGCATAACCTATTTTTGAAATTTGGCTAATAGACTATGTTGGTGAATCTGGGTGAGTCAGAAATGTCCTCTCAAGGGAAGTCAATTAAGGAGTACACTGTCTTTGTTGAGAGAATACCCTTTAGGCACTAAAAGAGCTGATGATTAAAGTACAGTGAAAAGCAGAGAGGTGGAGAAGATGTGAAGTGTGTGGGATTGTGTGTTGACGGCAGACCAGGCAGGGAAAGCCTTTGCTTTGGGGCCAGCTACTTGTGTAGAAATAGTGAAGGAAATCCAAATTTATTCCATTTATGATTTTGGCCTTGATTTCAAGACACAAAACTATTAAAAAAACCCCCAGTTTTTCTTTTTTTAATGAGGTCTTGGCAACTGGTGAGAGGAAATTTCTGAGGCAATGTGAATATCAGAAAGTTATTATCAAAAAGAACCACAACAAAATAAATTTCCTATAAGCCATCTTAAAATAGCCCCCAAATGCTGTCTTTCCGCCAAGATTTTCCACTAGCTTTCTTCCATAGGTGCCAGACAATCGACTTTGAAGGGGACCTTTGTCCTGTCTGTATACATGTTTGATTAACACAAATGATGGCAGGCATCCCCCAAATTGCTTTTTAATAAGGGTCTTTGCAAGGCAGATCCTTTAGATATGTGAATAAAGGCACATTATGAGAAGGTTATAAGAAAACAGAAGATTGTAAGCATTATGTTATTGGGAAAATATTATGAGAGAACAAAACAACTTACTTTTTTTTTGATGGGGGGACAGAGTCTCAGAGCCTCACTATGTTGCCCTTGGTAGAGTACTGTGATGCCATAGCTCACAGCAACCTCAAACTCTTGGGCTTAAGCAATTTTCTTGCCTCAACCTCCCAAGTAGCTGGGACTACAGGTGCCCACCACAGTGCCTGGTTATTATTTTTTTTGTTGTGGTTGTCATTGTTGTTTAGCAGGCCTGGGTTGAGTTCGAACCTACCAGCCCCCATGTATGTGGCCTGCACCCTAACCACTGAGCTGTGGGTACCAAGCCAAAACAACTTACTTTGATTTTGAAGTCTGTGAATGCTTTACTGGCTATAGAAAACACAGAGAGTGTGAGATGTGAGTAGCTAAAATTTCTTTTTTTTTTTTTATAGGGTGCTTATATTTATAGTACAATTAATTATAACATATATTCACATAATTCTTTTTTTCTTTTTTTGGCCGGGGCTGGGTTTGAACCCACCACCTCCGGCATATGGGACTGGCACCCTACTCCTTTGAGCCACAGGTGCTGCCCCACATAATTCTTTATATATGGAGAAAAATATAGTACCCCCAAAATAAATTGATAATCCTCTTTTGGTTGTTCTAAGACTACTTTAAAAAGAGAAAGAAAATTTAGAGTGAATATTGGAGATGATTTCCTTGATGAAAAGATTGTAAAGCATAGAAATAAAAAATAATAATATTAAATAGACCCAGGAGATTTCAGAGATTGTAATTCCTAAAACTAAATTTTCCAAAAAGAATGAAATATGGGAATAATGAGAAAAAACCATAGGGCAGACCATGTCCTTTATTTAGTGTAATTCCTTTAGGAAAATTCATATTCAAATTCTGGGGCCTAGGTAGACCTTACGACATTTGTGGTCACAGCTTCTAATTGATCATAAATTATAGGAATGCAGAAGTGGAAATTGACATTTAAAAATCTCGGTATTTTAGTGCATAATTCTCGTTAATAGGATCTGAGTTCATGCTTAATTGCATTTGTGATCAATGTTCAAGAAGGGCTTTCTTGTTTTTGTTTTTTTAACGTTTATGCCTAATTAAGCTTTACAGAAGAATTTACTAGGAATTTAAACATTGCAACTATTCATTTTTAAGGTGGCTCTTATTAGATTTCTTTAAAAACCACATGTGTTACTTTTGAACTTAAGTGTACTGTTTAATTTATCCTGTTTTTCTTTCATGACAGATTAAATACAAAGAAAAATTTGATAATGAAATGAAGGATCAGAAGCATCATTATAATCCTCTTGAAAGTGCTGTTTTTAGGCAAAATCAGCTCGCTGCCACCTTGGCCAGTGACGTAAGTTGTAATTCATGGGAAATTATTTTCAGTGTCTTTTGATTCTTGTTTTCTTAGAATCAACTGTGTTGTAATTACTGAGACTTGATCAAAATCATGTAGTTTCCAAGTAATGTGGAGAAAAAGATTTTTCTGAAAATCTTTTTGAGAAAAATGTATTATTGCGATTTATTACTCATGGCTACTGATTACTAATTACTTAATAAATAGGAATAACAGTGCAGTGGTTGCTGACTACTAATTACTTAATAAATAGGAGTAATAGTGCAATGAAATTATTATTTCTGATCAAGAGTGGAAATAGATTACAGAGGTTTGAAGAAAAGAATTCTCTATTGTCACTAATTAGTACTTAGGACAATAGTTATCTCGTGTCATTATGCCTATGAAATTGAGTTTATTATAAAGTATTATCTGGTACGTGCTAGTTTATTATAAAGAAATTTCCGAAGCTACACTTGTAATAGCTTAACATTTCTTTCTTATCCCCCATCTAAATACTATTAAATATTTCATAAGATTTGTTTTCATTTCCTGTTTTAAAAAGTCATCAAGATTCATTTTATACAATGTTCTAAAATTCTTATTAGAATTAAGCAGCGTATAAAAATAGCAACATTGAAAATACTGATTGTGACAGTTGAAAATCTGTAGAGTTACTTTTTAGGTATGGAAATTAAATACTGTCAAACTGTTGCTTTTTTTTTTTTTTTTTTGACTGGGGCTGGGTTTGAACCTGCCTCCTCTGGCATATGGGGCCAGCACCCTACTCCTTTGAGCCACAGATGCTGCCCCGAACTGTTGCTTTTTAGATCATTTAAACCTGTCAACCCCTGCCATCTCCTGGGGACTTAGTTGGCCCCACTTTCATTAATGTTTAGAAGATATCTTATTTGTGTTCAATAACCAATGTTAGTTCGTTTCCCGCATTTGAAATGGGTGTTTCTGTCTTTTAGGTTCCCTGGGAGTATTAGAATGATTTATTTTTTTCGTTTGATTGTTTTTTGTATGTGTACAGACATAAAGGAAATTGAAATGAAATAGACGTAAAGGCATCTAGAGCACAGTCCTAAAAACTCAAAGTTTAGAATCAGAGGGACTAGATTTATACTCTCCCCCATCACTTACTGTTATGCCTTCGGCTTTCTGTGCCTCAGTTTACTCATCTATAAATTGGAGCTGAAGTTTTTATAGAGATTAAAGACTTAATACACATAAAGGGTTTAGAGAAATCTTTGTTACATAGTAAATGTGTGCTATTCTTGCTGTTATTAATATTTTATTATTATTACTAGTGTCACGGTTACAAAGCAGTTGGCTAAAACAAAGAAAAACAGGTCTATGTGGCTACAGGATGAAAAACACCAAAAGCCTAAAATCATCTCAAAGCGTAATTGAAATGCTGTAGTAATTTCTAGGGAATAAAGTGGCTAGTCTCTTTATTTTCTAAAGCAGAATTTCACTGAAAGTTATTTGATCATGTTGACATCACCCTTCCTGAATATGTAAACAATACACGGGATTATCACAAGATCGTCAAGTGGCTACAGAAATTCAACTTTTTTAACTCATTCGGTAGTAAATCAGCACCATCTAGTGGCCACTTGTAAATTCACCTGTCCATTTCCCACTAAGTAGTGCTACTTTGTGATGCGTTAGGAATAATAACGGCAGTAACGCGAAAGCATAACGTTTTCTTCTCCTAGATGGTATTTTCTTCCGTGTTATTTCCATAGGTGAAGTACAAGAAAGACATTCAACATATGCACGATCCAGTTTCAGATCTCCCAAATTTGTTGTTTTTAGAACATGCTTTGAAAGCCAGCAAAATGCTCAGCGGTGTAAGTGCGTCTCCTGATGGCCCCAAGAAGCCAATATGCCTGCGGTGTTCTGGGCTCACCTGCTCTGTTGGACGTGCGTGTGTGCCACTCCTCCCTCAGCGACTAACTCCTTGAAAAGTAGTGATCTGCTTGCGTCAAACCCACCAAAGCTGTCGCTTTCTAGAGGGAGTTGTTGCTAGTTCTTAAATACAACGACGCTTCAAAGAGTTTGTGCGAATGTTCCTTCTGTCTTTCTTCTTCTCCTCTCTTCCTCTGTGTTAGATTAAAACCACTTGAAGTCCAGGCTCTCAAGTCAAGGACCTTTTATTTTATCTAGGCCAGAACTTGGTATGCCCTCGGTAACATAAAAACACTAAGTGTGAATTGTATTCTTTCTGAAAATAAATGTTAAAGGTGGTTTTATTACATTGACGCTATGCTTTTAGTCTTGTGATGGTTTCCACGTTCTAAGTCAAGGTCATCAGGAAGGGAGGGTAAAGTTCTTTTTTATGTCCTGGTGGAAATACTTGTGTTCACTGCCTGAGCTGTTAGCCCCTCAGAATTTCACCCTCAGGGTCCATGTGTCTGGACCCTGACTGTACATGTCAGGACGCCTTGTTGTGATGGTGAACTCTCATTTGACCCCAAATTATTTTCATGCTTACTTCTATCTCTCACTTACTCAAAATTATCCTACTTTACTAAATATCTGCTTTGGGCCAGGCTCACATCAGATGGAGAAATAGGTGTTGGACAAGGCTGTAGAAAAATAAGGATAGTTGTCTTCAGCAGACGTGCCCATGGTCATGAACTTAACAATCTGTGGTAGAAATCCTGTTCCTGTTCCTGGCTGGGAACGGTCACTCACGTCTATTATCCCAGCACTCTGGGAGGCTGAGGCAGGTAGGTTTCTTGAACTCGGGTTCAAGACCAGTCTGAGCAAGAGTGAGACCCCATTTCTACTAAAAATAGAAAAAACTAGCTGGGCGTTTTGTTGTGGCAGACACCAGTAGTCCCAGCTACTTGGGAGGCTGAGACGGGAGGATCTCTTGAGCCCAAGAGTTTGAGGTTGCTGTGAGCTGTGATGATGCCAGGGCACTGTGTCCAGGGCGACAGAGGGAGACTCTGTCACCAAAAAAAAAAAAAAAGTAAATAAATAAATAAAATAACCTGGTTCCCAAACAGTTAGATAATGAGATAAAGAGATACAACTTCATGTCAGTTTTCAGGAATAATCTATCCTTGGCTTCAGTCTTTTGAATCTTATATTCATTATTTCGTAAGCCTTCTTTGGTGACCATCATCCCCACTGTCATCCTTCCTGAAAGGTATAATGTGTGTAAAGAGTTTGTACTTACGGAGATTCACTTATTTACCTTTGTTCTTTAATCACGGCTCCTTAGATGAAGAGCAGGACAACATTCTTTCCAGGTTGTTGACCAGGGACCGGTAGTTAGCAGAATGATCGACGGGCCTAAAATTAGCCCTGAGTGCCTGGGCACTGGCATCAGACCGTCTTGCCCTGTCTGTGTTCATTCCTCCTGCCCCTCCCTCTGTTCCATGAGTGTCACGTTGTACCCATGACTCACAGACAAGCTTCTCTAATGGATAAACCTCTGTTCTTGAGCCCTTTGCTTTCTTCACATCCAGTCTTGGACATTCGGTTCTGAGCACGGCACTGACGTTTGCCCTTGACTTTTCCCTATCCATGCTTAGGTTACACTTCCTGGAGACATGGGCTTTCATGTGTCAATAGGCCAATAGAAATATATAGTGGCAATTTAAAAATTGTAAGCCACTCACAGGCAATATTTCTTTTTGAGAATATTGACCTTTATTCTATAGTAATACTGATAAAAAATCACAGCTTAATATAAATTATTTCTATCATTTCTTCAACACAGAAAAAACCCAGCGAAGACTATGTTACATTTATTTTATGTATCACTTATAACGTTTAAATCTTCAGTCAGATGGTGCTTTTACCTAAATCACAGATTTTTTCCCCCCATAGAAGAATCATAACTGAATGATGATTTCATGGGAGGGAAGGCTTAAGATTTAAAAAATGCATTTCTCTGATGTATATCTATGGTTAAAGTTATAAAACAATACCTTGGCTCAACTGTACAGCACTTGCGAATAGCCTACTTTTAAATTTTAACATAAGGATAATTAGATTTTTTTTAATTTATAAAGGCCATTTAATTAAAAGATTGAATAAAGATTACTCAGTAAATAGACATTTTGCTGAAACTGTCACTTTGTTGTAAATGGCCGTTTTTTTAAAGATGTCAGAATTTTTTTTGTTTTAAAAAGTAGCGAATAGAGTGATATGAATTCCTCATGAGTTTGTACAACTATACTAAATTAAAGTTTTGAGGAAGCATTTTCTGCTTGGAAAACAGACTTCTAGTGTTCACTTTTATGACTGGGTAAATTAAAAATATACGTGTTGTGTTACTTCCATGTGATGCCCACTAGGAGGCAGCAGAGACTATTACATGGAGAGAAACAGGTCCTGGAAATTTCATTTGCAGATCTTAGTTCAAATAGGTTTTCCTTATTATTATTATTTTTTCCAAATAGGAGTTTCTAAGATTCTTGGTAACTAAAATAGATTGTTGTCTTCAGAATGATTTTTTTTTTAACCTTTTGTCAGTATAGACCCATCCTTAGGGTAGGCTTCAGTAATTCTGGCTTTGAACTCAGTAATAAAGTACATTCTGGCTTATTCCATTCAAGTGATGATTGTCTTATAAATATATTTTATAAAATAACTTCTGGTCAAAGTGTAAAGTCTCTAAGGATTTTGTTTATTTATTTAGAGACAGGGTCTTGCTCTGTCACCTGGGAGGACCGTGGTGTGATCACAGCTCACTGTAACATCTAATTCCTGGGCTCAAGTGATCCTCCTGCCCTGGCCTCCCACAGTGCTGGGATTACAGGGGCCCCCACCGTGCCCAGCTGACTATGTACGTTATTATGTTTAGAGATTATCTTTTTCCTCCCTCTTTCCTTCCTCCCTCCCTCCCTCCCTCCCTTCTTTCCTCTCTTCCTTGCTCTCTTTCTTTTTTCCCTTCTTCTCTCTTTCTCTTTCTCTTTCTCTTTCATTTGTAGAGGAGCCAAAATTTAGAACTTGTCCTCTTCAGTCAAGACGTGCTATTGGAACGTGTTTATGACCTTTCTGGGGGGAACTCTCTGCCCTCATTTGATGCTGGCTAGGGGTTGGGGGACACATATCTCAGCCCCCTGATTGACTGGAAACACCTGAGGCCAGGCTCCCTCTGTGGACGTAGCACCCCTGTGGCAGATCACGGGGACTTCCCATCTGTTCTGTCCCTGGCTCAGAGCTGTCTTCCTCTCACTCACAAATCCTCGGAGCATCTCCTAAGACCCAGATGTGAATTCCTCTGTGGCCAGCTCTTTCCTGCTCCCTCTCCAGTTTTGCTTAAGCACATGGCATCCTTCCACTCTAAACAAAACTGCCCTGGTTACTGAAACCCTCACTGCCTAAAGACCAACAAGCTTGAGCTTGAGTCTCCAGAGCATTGATTCTTCGAGAGTTACTGTTTACTTCTACAAGTCTTTCCCAAACAGAGCAAAATAACTTAATGTCCAATCTCCAATGATGGGAATCTTGGAGCAGTTTTGTCTTATTGCTGTCTGCTGCATTTGGAGTCTTCCTGAGACCAAACTTGGCATCTTTAACCAATCTGGTCTCCTCCATATTTGCCTTTGGCCTTTATGTCTAAACAGTAGCCTTAATCCAATTTCTTTATCTAAAAATTCCCCCGAGTATACCCACATTCCTCAATTTCTCTTCTAGGTACCTCCTACCTCGTCCTTGTAGGAAAACCAGTTGAATTATTTCTCACCCTCCCGTTCTCCTTGTGACCATCCGTCTTCCTCCCTGGTGACCTTTCTATTCAGCTGTTTTCTTCCCTGCCTCCCGTGTTCCTTCCCCCTGTTCTTTCTTCTCTTCTTCTGGGAACTGTTAAACACTTTCCTGTCCTACAACACTGGCGAGACCAATTGCCTTTATTTCCTCCAACCCTTGCCTGTTCACACAAGGACCGTCGCTGCGCTTTTTCATTGCCACCCCTTGGCGTTGTGAATGTCCTTTACCGCCAGCTAACTGCCCTCTGTCTCGTGTAGTTCCTACGCGGCTCACTGCGACCACGTAGAGCGGGTCTATCTGGCATCATCCGTTTACCTTGGTGTCAGAAATCTACACGCCACACTGACTGTGGACGGGGACTTGATCACAGCTTCGCAGCACTGGACGGCTTGTGTTTCTCAGTTTGCATTCCTAAGATTATTTGTGGTTTACACTGTCTCTTTTATCCTAAGTTTATTTTCGTGTTCTGTATTTCAGCGAGAGTATAAGAAGCTTTTTGAGGAAAACAAAGGAATGTATCATTTTGACGCAGACGCTGTGGAACACCTTCACCACAAAGGGAACGCCACCCTGCAGAGCCAGGTACGTGCTCTGTGGGCGTCCGGCCTCCCTGCCAGGACTCCATCAGTGTCCTGCAGCTCAGAGCTCACAGCGATGCACCATGACTGATAATGAACAGGGACAGAACAGGTGGATCCCAAGGAAGTTACCATCACGAAAGAAAATCTCAGACATTATTGTCTCTGTATTTATGGGTCCAGAGAGCTTGAACCGTATTGTAATATATAGGCATTTTATAAAATAACCATGACTTTACTTAATTAAAAATTTATAAGATATGAATTCAACAAGCTATGGTTAAATCTCAGAATGATTTAAATTTTCACAGTGTATTGATTTGTCGTTTTGAGCTGTAATATTTTCCAGGCACGAGATTTATTGCAATGTTTTGATTCAATTATAAGTGTTACTAAAAAGGTAGAATGATGTTATCAGTATATCCTAGGTTCATATTTCTTCCAGCTATGAAGTTAGTATGTACCCTTTGAAAAAACTTGCAAAAGAAAATCTTCCTATCCCCCTTTAAAGTTCATACCTGTTTTCTAGATTCTGAATTTAAATAGTTATAAAAGATGTCATTTCTAGCATATGTTCAGATAAAATTTTACATGAGTCTTTTAAATGTATTCTGTTAAAAAATTCCATAATGATTTCATATTCACCTTCATTTATTTAAAAAACATACTAACCAGCTCCCCTTTAAGATTTGGAAGATACATTTTTTTCCTGTTTAAATTCTTCATTTCTTTTTCTCTTAAAATTTTATCCTAATGACATATGTTATTATACTCCTGACAGTTTTATCAATCACTTTGTCATACTTATTTGCAACAAAAATATGTCTACAAACACATTTTGAGATTTGCTATATTTCCTGTTACCATGTCTAAGTATTGAAACTTTTTTGGGGGGGTTGAATTATCATGAGCATTATTATTATTCTACCACTTAAAAATAATTCCATAAATAATTATCAAACATAAGAATTTTAGTAAAAATGGATTTTGAAGGAAGTGAATCACCATCAAAACTTTTCTATGAATTTGAAAAGGCAGATTGCTTAAAAAGCCAGCCACGCTGTGATGCTTTACATACAATTATAGTTTTTTAAATTAGGAGATGGACAATATCACTCGTTTTATAAACTGAAATAATCTGAAGATTGACTATAAATGAAGTTAATATTTTATGATACTCTTTTTTTGCAGTTTTTGGCTGGGGCCAGGTTTGAACCCGCCACCTCCAGTATATGGGGTGGGCACCCTACTCCTTTGAGCCATAGGTGATGCCCCCCCGGTATTCTTGAGTACCATGTAGTGAAATGGAAAGAAATCACTAAGAAAGGTCTTTTTATATTTTTGACTCAATGTCTATGAAGGAATTCAGTGGACCCAGAGGATATTGTCCTGTACGTGTTAGAAAAATAGAGAATCACCTGTATGTTTTCTTTCTTGTTCATGATTTACTGATAGACATACAAGCTGTCGTAGGGATTGTTCTCTTTCTCCCTCCCTCTCTCTGACCTACCTATATTTGTATACCATGTACGTATATATAATACCCAGTATATATATTATATGCTCCTGTATATCCCAGATATTTGACAAAATATATGAGTCCTGAAGCAGCATGATGTAGTTGTTGTAAATTATTTTTGGCCCTTAAACACTTTTATATATTACAGATAATTTTCTTTGTATGTCGTTATCTATAGAGTGCCAAGTGATCAACCTAATTAGCCAGAATAATTTAAATTTTAGAAAACAGGATGAGTGATTTTATTTATTTATTTTTTCATTAGTAGTTTTTTATTTGAGTTGATTATTTTTCATCTTTTGTATTGTTTCTTCTGTTTTTCTTTTTTTTTTTTTTATTAAATCATAGCTGTGTACATTAATGCAGTCATGGGGTACAGAGTGCTGGTTTTATATACAATTTGAAATATTTTCATCAAACTGGTCAACATAGCCTCCATGGCATTTTCCTAGTCATTGTGACAGGACATTTATGTTCTACATTTAGAAAGATTCACATGTATCCTTGTAAGATGAACCATAGGTGTGATCCCACCAAACACCCTCCCTCCAAAGATGAGTGATTTTAGACATATTTTTCTCTCGATTTATCGGTTTATATGAGGGTTTTTGATTTCTATACCCTTCCATGCTTTCTTCAATGAAGGTTAAATACAAAGAGGAGTATGAAAAGAATAAAGGGAAGTCGATGCTTGAATTTGTGGAGACACCATCATACCAAGCTTCAAAGGAGGCTCAGAAGATGCAAAGTGAGGTAGGTCACTAGGGTGGGTTGCTGATTGTTGAATGCGTATTTGATGCTTGATCATTCCAAAGGAATTAGAACAGTGACTCAGAATGTTGGGTGGGTCTAGAAGAAAGAGAACTGCTCTGGGCAGATCCAGGGAGCGGCTTTCAGGACCCAGCCGCCCACTGCCAGGGGTCTCCGTTCATCGGGTCATTGGGGTTAGTCTGGCCCTTAGTTTTATTACTTTGGTGAATGTGGATTTCAAGCTAGATGAACTGAAGGTCCTGTCAGTTCTAACATTCCAACATTACGTAATTGACACTTTCAGATTGTGTCAGTGTAAAACTATGATGAGTACGTAAAAACTAAAAAGAAAATGAAGAGCCGGTGGCTTTATTTAACTTGTTTTTTTTTTTTTTCTTTTTTGCAATGATAATAGAACTACCATTAATTAAATACTCTGTGATAGGTAACCTTTAGTCTCTAAGTAATGATGGTGGGAAGATATTCTCCCTAAATTTATAATGTATCTAATGAAATCGTCAAATGAAATCAAGTATCTAGTACATATCTAGGTCTAATATTTTAGGACCTGGTTAAATCAGGAAAGATTTCCTTTGTTTTGTTATTGTATGTTTTGATCCATTTTGTGCTGATGTAACAGAATACTGCAGAGTAGGTCATTTATAAGGAGCAGAGATTTATTTCTTATATTTCTGGAGGCTGGGAAGTTCGAGATCTCAGGGCCCACTCTGGTGAGGGCCTTCTTGCTATCCCATGCCATGGTGGAAGGTGAGAGAGAGAGAGAGAGAGAACCCAACTCATCCTCTTATCAGGAATCCACTTCCGTGATAATGGCATGAATCCATTCATAAACATATGGAGCCTTTATGGCCTAATGACCTCTTAGGCTGCCTCCACTTTGCATTAGGGATTAAGTTTTGAACATTCAAACTTTGGGGTGTACATTCAAACCATAGCAACTTGTTTAATTGATTTTTCCTCAGCTAACAGTTAAGAGTCTTTTCTACTTATCCACTTTATTCTCAAACTATGATAATGCTAAAGTCACATTCAGATATTCCCCACCTATTTATTCTCTGTTCCGGTGATATTTCTTTTTCTTCTTCTTTTTTTTTAATTTACTTTTTGGGGAACTAGACACACATGGTTTTGTCTGCACCCATCATCCAAGTTCTAGGGGTACAGCTGGGGTCTTACTTCAGAGGGACGGATACAGGAGGCAGTAGCATCAGCCAGTTACAACCTCAGCACTTCATGAGACACAGGCCCACTGGGGAGGATCTTTCCTTTTTGTCCAACAGGGAAAAACAATAACTTCTGGACAAAAGATTCCCATAAAAATTTTATAAGCATCATTTGTACTATTTGTTGAAATGTTATATATATAATTCATCTTGTTGGGAAAGGGCACTCAGAGACAGTGAGTTATTGAATAGTCAAAGTTCCTATGTCTTCTTCAAGCAAAAAGACAAGAAAATAATTCTTGTACTTTTCATGTTTAGTATCTTCTTAAGGCAATAAGAGGGATTTGATAAAGGAATGTCCAGCAGCTCTTTTGACTAAATTAGCTGTTTTAGTTGACAGAACTAGTAAATTTGGTAGAAGTTCCGAGGCCCTCCAAAAACTTACATTCAATGGAATGGATTCCCCTCGATCCCCTTCTCTGCCTTTAGATAACAGTTCGTAAAGTCATTTATGTATCCTTCACCCAGTTTTATTGTCTTCCCTGGTGGTGGTACTTTTGGGGTGGGTTAGAGCCACCCAGTGAATTTCTCTGTTTTGTAGGAATGAGGTCACGGACCCACAGCCCAGAGAAAGGTTTCCATGTTTGAGAGCTGTCACGATGCTTTCACTTCGTGGGCTCCCTGGAAGTTTAAGACTATATGAAGTTGCCAAATAAATTTTCACTGAAAGAGGCAGGGCTTGAAAATCACGTTACAGTTCTGAAAACAACCTCAGGAGGGTGGTGTCCACTTTTCAGCCTCCGGCCCCCTCCCTCCTGCCTTTCCCTTTAACCCCACCCCCCTCCTCTTTCATTTCCTCTACTGAAACACGCTTGCTGAGGGCCCTTTTTTCATTCTGGTCCCATGGTTCTTTTTTTCCCTCTGCTCTGACTCATTAACTTTCCTCTCACAAACCAACAAATCCTGGAACTTACATAAATTCACAGTTAAAATATTCTAATACCTGGTTTCTGTGTTAGAAATGATAGTAATTTGTGACTTAGGATTTGAACTTCTCAGCTTTCGTGATTCGTCTCTCCTCCCCAACTTACTCTTTCTCTCCTGCCAAATAAGAGATTATTTTCCCCTTAAATTATGTCCGTTGACTATTAGATTTTTTAGGCTCAACAATCACATCTTAAGGAGAGTGAAGTCTTGTAATAGAAAATATCTCTAGCTCTGAAGGCTAGAACAATAAAGTAGCTAAAAATCTTTGACCACTTTGATGTGAAAAAGTCTTTTTTTTTTTTTTTTTAATTGAATGGTAACTGTGTACATTGATGCACTTTGGGGGTACAGTGTGGTGTTTTCATACACAATCCAAGACACTTCCATCAAACTGGTTAACATAGCCTTCATGTAACTTTCTTAGTTATTATGTCAAAACATTCATATTCTACTCATAGAAAGATTCACTTGTACCCTTGCAAGATGAACCACAGAAGTGAACCCTCGAATCCCTCTCCCTCCCCCCTCTCCCCCTCCCTCCCGAAAAAGTCTTTAAATATAGAACTAATGAAGTAATTACAAAGAGAACCACCTATGGCCGTATCACCCTGAACACGCCCCCATCTCGTCTGATCTCGGAAGCTAAGCAGGGTCAGGCTTGGGGAATACTTGGATGGGAGACAAAGAGAACCATGGGTGTTAGAGATGGTTTTTATTCCTAAGAGGTGGCCTTGGCTATGAAGTTTCTTAGGGAAACCTCCTATGGGTAGAGTTAAGAAATTATGTTCTTGGGAAAAGCCACTGATACCTTTGCGATGGCCTATAATTAAGTTTATCTCACTTTCTTCTAATGCCAGATACAGGTTTAATTGGGGTATTTTCTAATCTTGAAATCTGGCTTTGAAACATTCTTTCTCCTGTTTCACAAGTATAGCTTTCAGTGCCAAAAGCATACTGAAGGCTATTCGGATTTTTCCCCCCCTAGGTATAGGCATGGTATTTTGGCTAATTCAAATCATAATCAACCTCTCTTCATGACTAACTTCAGTAAAATAAATTTTTTTTAAGAGAAGGGCTTTTTGAAGGTGAAATAGTTGATATAAAGAAATAAGTATATATATACACATACACTCATGTTTGAATTTCACCATTTAAAGAGTCCTTTTGGCGTGGAGATATTCTTCTGTGTTTTCTCCACGGTTTCCACATAGGACGAGGGATAGTTGCTGTTATTGGTACATCTATAATTCTTTTTTTTTTTTTTTAAATGAGACAGAGTCTCACTGTGTCATCCTTCGTAGAGTGCTGTGGTGTCATAGCTCACAGCAACCTCAAACTCTTGTGCTTAAGTGATTCTTTTACCTCAGCCTCCCAAGTAGCTGGGACTATAGGCATCCGCCACAATGCCTGACTATGTTTTGGTTGTAGTTGTCATTGTTGTTTGGCAGGTCCAGGTTGGTCTTGAACCCACCAGCTCCCGTTTATGTGGTTGGTGCCCTAACCGCTGAGCTACAGCCGCCACCAAGACTATAATTCTTTTGTTCAGAATGCTCCCAATGCGACTTTAGTTCACTCTGCTAGGTTTATAGATCAACCTTTGTGCCCTTCCTTGTGGCCATATGCACGTTGGTAAACAGCCATGTGTACTTAACACAAATGCTAAGTGAGGAAGCAACATGCTCCTATTATTCTCCTTCCTGATTTGGAGAAATTATTTATCCAGTTGCCTATCTCTGTAATACACGTAACACATAATGAACCTGGAAATAGCTATTCGTGTCACGTGAGTAATCATCTCAGGCAGAATTTATTTATTTGCGTCATCTTTGTGATGCCACTTAGAATAAAACCTTTGGCTGGTAAAACCCGGGTCCTTGTTTAGTAAATCTTTCACATGGAGAGATATTGTCGTTGTTCGGAGACTGTCTTACAGTCATAAATCATGTGTTTCCACTAATGTTCAAGTGCATGGAAATTAGAGGGTCACAGCCAGAGAGGGGTGGAATACATCAGAGGGGCAGCTGGTGGTCTGCATCTGAGCCTCTTACAATCACCGTCCCATAGTCCTCTTGCATTTTGTATGCACTCTCACCTAATGAAGGATTCTTCAGGTTCCAGATAAGATTTTCCTCACAGTGCAACTTGATTCATAGCAAACTCCATAGATGGTAGAGAAATGTTCTCAGTGCCAGATCCATTAAAGGAAAACATCTCCTCGTACCAACCCCAGCCTCCATGACGTTTTAGCAGTAATATTTCCTGAATTCCCAAAAGACAGGCAGTGCAGAGAAGGATGGTGGGCCAGATTGGTTTGAATGGGCTTCCACATGGCCAGGTTTCTTCCACTCACCTTTCAGTAAACGAATTAGGTGATCCAACCAATTTGACAGATTCCCCTCCTAAAATAAGCTGATGTTAATCACAGACTAGTGAAATGTGAAGCAGCCTCACTTGGAGTGATTTAGCAGGGGAAGGGGATACTTGATAATTCTGCTTCCGTTTGGTAGAATTCTAAAATTTTATTTCCCTGTCGATAAGACGACCCTTAGGTGATAAAATTAAATAAGAGAACATCAGTTTTGTTCCGGGAACTCTTTTCCTAATATCATTACAACAGACACTAATATTTCTTAAATTTAAAATTATGGTACGTTGTCTCATTTAACAGAAAGTTTACAGAGAGGATTTTGAGAAGGAGATTAAAGGAAGGTCATCACTGGATTTAGACAAGACTCCAGAATTTCTGCACGTAAAGTACATCACCGGCCTTCTGAGGGAGGTATGATCCTGCTGTTTACTATTAAATAATCACAAAAGAAAAGGAATAACTTAGGAGATGGTAACTCAATTCCCTACTAATTTAGTGTTTGAGGTATTAACCCAGCACTCTTTTTTGGGTGGGGGGGGCTTTAGTAACAAAGTTTTGCATTTTCATGAAAAATAGAAAAGTGTATTTTAACATTTTTGTTTAAATTTGAGGAAAGCTTAAATTTGGGAAAACTTGAGAAATGGTCAGGTTTTGTGTTTTCGTGGTCGCTTAGAAGTTTTACAAGTAGTTTTCTAGCTTTATAGCTGTGGATTAAAAAAAAGATATATGGGGGCAGCGCCTATGGCTCAGTGAGTAGGGCGCCAGCCTCATATACCAAGGATGATGGGTTTGAGCCCAGCCCTGGCCAAACTGCAACAAAAAATAGCCAGGTGTTGTGGTGGGGGCCTGTAGTCCCAGCTTCTCCGGAGGCTAAGGCAAGAGAATTGCCTAAGTCCAGTAGTTGGAGGTTGCTGTGAGCTGTGACGCTACAGCACTCTACCAAGGGTGATAAAGTGAGACTCTGGTCTCTTTAAAAAAAAAAAAAATGGGTGGAACCATTACAAGAGCGTACTTTAGAATGAACTTTTTCTGGAGCTTCCCTGCAGCTTTTCCATGACATTTGATGCCAGAAATAAATGAGGTACTTACACGTGAAGGTTGGGAGAAAGGGTACATTGTTTTTAAGAGGTTGTGTTCTAAGTAGGTAAAAATAATATATGTAGCATATAGAACAGAGGAAGTCATCCCCATTTTTCACTTTATTCTCTGCCAGATTTTTCTCTCTAAACTTAATAATGCATTTTGGCTCACCAGTAATTAAATTTATTGAACATTAAGGTCTAAAGCAGAGGTTCTAAACCTGTGGGTTGGAACACCTTTGTAACAATGAAAATACATTGTGGCATTAGGAAGCTTGAGAACCACTGGTCTAAAGTCTAGCAATTAAGAATACCACACTCACAGTCCATTTTTTTTTTTTTTTTTTGAGACAGAGTCTCATTTTGTCACCCTTGCTAGAGTGCTGGCCCACAGCAATCTCAAACTCTTGGGCTGATCCTCTTGCCTCAGCCTCCCAAGTAGCTGGGACTATAGGCACCTGCCACAACACTCGGTTGTTTTATAGAGATGAGATCTCACTGTTGCTCAGACTGGTCTCTAACTCCTGAGCTGAGGTGATCTGTCTACTTCGGCCTCCCAGAGTGCTAGGATGACAGATGTGAGCCACCACACGTGGCCACAGTCCATCTTTTTAAAAGTTTGTGTTTTTTTTTTTTTAGTGGCTTAAAAGTAATTTTGAGCTCTTCCAAATCTTTTTGAATACTCTCTTTATAATAAGGGGGAAGTATTCCCTTAATATAAATGGAATATATACTAATGGAATACATGTAGCATAATAATAAGATATATATGTTATTTTATATAAGTTATATATATTTCATACATATATAAAGTAAAATTCCATACCTTGAATTTTTGAACTGAAAAAACTATGCCTGAAAGAAATGTATTAAATCAGTGAAATAAATAAGAGTATAATTACTATGTGGAATCACATTGCCATAGACTTCTTTAATAAGAAAATGCTAACTGGCTGTGACAGATAGATGGTTTTAGAAGTTTAACGTGATTCACCATCATAATACGTGTCGTGCTGAAATAGACATATAATTTCTGTAAGAGTTTTCTTGCTGCATTCTTTCCTCATTTCTAGTTACTACAAAAATGTTTGAAGTTAAAGCCTGATCAAATGCAATGTTCTACTAATATGGTCTTCCCACTTAAGAAATAAGCAAATTCATGTGAGTTTTTTCAAGGGTAATATTTTTATCATTAACCTATAAATGACAATGTGAAATCTGTTTTGAGATCTATAAATGACTTTAGTACATACCATGACTTTTTCTCCTATTCCTGTTTCTGAGTGAGTCTCATTTTATACTTGTTGATTCAGAATGTAAATATCAGGTATATATCAGATTGTATATTAAAGGCCCAGAACACTCAGGGATGCTATAAGAAAAGGCTGCAGATTGGGCGGGTTCACTCACAGGCATTTTTCCAAGTTGTAGAGACTGTGGAATCCAAGATGAAGGTGCCTACAGATTTGGCTCCTGGTGAGGGCTCTCTTCCTGGCTTGCAGACAGACACCTTCTTGCTGGGTCCTCGTAGAGGAAGGAAGAGAGAAATGGGGCGGGGGAGAGGGAAAGAGAGAAAACAAACTTTGCTCTCTGTTCTTCTTTTCCTGTAGAGACATTAATGCCATGATGGGGGCCCCACCCTCACAACCTCATCTAACCCTAATTACCCTCTAAAGGCCCTGCCTACAATTCCCATCATACTGGGCTTCCATGTATGAATTTTGAGGGATGCATACAATTAGTCAATAACAACTACGATGCTAAGTGAAATAAGCAAGGCACGGAAAAAACAAATTCCACTCTTTCTCACTTCTATGTGGAATCTAAAACAATTGCACTCACAGAAGTGGAGGGTAGAATGCTGGTTGCAGAGGCTAGGGGTTGAAGGCAATGAGGAGATGATGGTCAAAGGGTATAAAATCTCATACAAGAGGAGTAAGGGTTTGGGGGCATCTGTTGCACGGTATGGTGAATACAGTTAAGAATAGTGTATTGTATGTTTCAAAAATTGCTAAGAAAGTAAATTTCAAATGCTCTTACCACAAATAGTGATAAGTATTTGAGGTGATGGATAGAATAATTAGATTGATTTTATTATCTTATGTTGTATTCAAGGATTGTGACATCACTTTGCACCCCGTAAATACTGTCAGTGTCTAAGGAAAAAATTTAAAATAGATTAACTTGAAAAAAGTTATAGAAATATCTAATTTGAATAAAGGGCTCTTGGTGACTTAATGGGATTATCACTTTTCTTTACAAGGGTGAGCATTTAGCTTCGAATGGACTTTGCAATTTTTACTTTATGGTTTTTACAGTTACGTCCCTGTTTAGAGTGTTCAGAGTTTCATTTTATACTTCATTTCATCGGATTCCCCCCATTGCCCTTTCTTATTGGTAGAACAGGGGTTCTTATTTTCATTTTCACAGAGCGGAACTCAAGGCTGAGTCACTTAGAAGTCCTCCTGAAGGTCACACCACCAAATATCTGACTTTCTCCTGGGTCATTTGACTAAGAGATCATTCCAAGATTATAAGCAGGCCACTCTAATGTCTAGTAAGCTATGAGTGGAGCAGAAGACAGGCTAATCTAATTATACCGAATGAAGGGAAAATAATGTAAAATGAACCTTAGAATTTACTGGAACCTGATTTTTTAACATTAAAGGAAGTTTCAACTTTCATCTGACAGGTTAGTCACACACACAGCTTAGTTGAATGGAAATAAGATAGTTATTGCTTTCCTAATACAATTAAATAAGAAAAAAAAGGAATTCATTAGCAGAGGAAAGCAAGTTATATGTAAATGTTCATGGGAGGCATTTAGATCTACTTAAAATACGATATTAAGATTAGGTGAAATTTAAACTATACATTACAAATCTGCAGGAAATGATTTGGTTTTACAAACCTTTAAATAAAAAGGAAACTTTGGTTTTTAACTTTGGCTACATCAATCCTTTGGATTTTGTAATGTTTCATTCTTTTTCAACTGTGTTCTTTCTGGTAATTCATATTTTGTAGACAAGTTTCAAAAACACTTCAAATAATTCATAGCAAGCTTGCGTTCTTAACATCTTCCTCATCATTGAAAAGGGAAGGTATCTTTTAAAAAATGTGGGTTTTTATGGTACGAACACATCCTGAGAACCATTGGAATAGGGAAAACCCTGTTTGTATTGGAAGCCACTCAGAACTTGGCAGAGGAGAAAATGAAATGTCCCAAAGATTCATTCCATCCTTGTAATATTTTCTCCTTTCTGTAATGTCTTGAAAACATGTGAAATAGCACACCGATTAAAGTGATTCCTGGTAAGTTTTGAACTGTGATATTCTTGTCTTACAGAAAGAATATAAAAAGGATTTGGAAAATGAGATAAAAGGGAAAGGGATGGAACTTAATCCAGACGTTCTTGATTTTCAGCGAGCAAAGCGGGCATCTGAAATGGCCAGTGAGGTGAGTATGTGGATTTCAGAGCTTAGAATGTGCACACGTTAGCTGAATTCCTGATCTGCAGATCTTTCACAGAGAGTCTGTGCATCCCACAACTGATGTGTGCTGCTGATTGTAAGCAGCTCTATCTTAGGAAAGGCTTTTCCCGGACAATGGACGTGTTTAAAAATTGACCCTCACAATCTCCTTTCTATGGGATATGAGAAAAATGGCCATTTCCTCATGTGGAGAAAATCTGTATAATAAACCCAAATAGTTTTATGAGATTTAGCTTCATGTTTTAAGCAAGTAAAGGGCAGAAGGCTGGGAAAGAGTGTTGTTATGGCCCATCAGTACCTGCAGTTGGAAGGTTCGCTTGCTGTCCTCTAACTCAGCTGACCGTCCTGTTCCTCGTGAGGCTGCTGAATGCACCTGGTGCTCCCTTTATATGAGCTTAGAAGAAGGAATGAAATGGCTCCGAGGACTTCCAGTCCTTTAATCCTTGTTTTATGCCATTACCTTGGTATCACATAACAACCCCGTGCTTTGCGGGGAACTAGCAGAATTCAGCAGTGAGAAATCTTAAAGCCTTGTCCCTATATTTTAATAAAATGTGGTGGTGGCAGTGATGATGATGATGATGAGCCTATTAGGTTGCAAATGATAGAAAACCCAACTCAAAGTGGATTAAGCAGCAGAGGAAATGCATCAGCTCACGGAATAGAAAAGTACAAGGATGGAATTACCATCAGGTTGGAATTCAAATGATGTCTCTCCACTTTTATCCCTCAGCTCTGTCGTCTTCCCTGCCGGCTTCATTCTTGGGAAGCTGTCTCTAGGTAATGGCCCTTTTTAGTAACAGGATAGCTCACATCTATGGCCAGCAAGTCCAGATGGAAGTGACCATCTGATGTTTGTTTTTTAGTAATCCCAATTAAGGTCATAGGATTGAATCTCTTTGGAGTAACCTTTAGTTCCTTTGCTCACCCACACCTGACCCAATCATTACATCTGGGTTGGGGGGGGGTGCAAGGTACTGACTGGCCTCTTGTGCTCACCCATTCCTTTTTTATTTTTATTTTTATTTTTTTGAGACAGAGTCTCACTTTGTTGCCCCCAGAAGAGTGCCCTGGCATCATAGCTCACAGCAACCTCTACTCTTGGGCTCAAGTGACTCTCTTGCCTCAGCCTCCCAAGTAGCTGGGACTACAGGCACCTGCCACCATACCTGGCTATTTTTAGAGATGAGGTCTTGCTCTTGCTCAGGCTGGTCTCAAACTTGTGAGCTCAGATGATCTGCCCACCTCGGCCTCTCAGAGTACTAGGATTATAGGCATGAGCCAACACCCATTTCTTTATGTACTTTAATAGTATCTTAAGTAAAATACTCTAAATTTGTATGTGTTTTTCCTTAATTCATTTTAATACTGGCTATATTCATGTTGTTTAAATAAGTTAAATATTTAAAAAACAGTAGAATTAAAAATATATGTGGGCAGTAGGGAAGTGTTGAAAATCTAGCCCCATCCCCGCCAAGTATATGGACTGAAAGGGGTTAGAGGTCCTTCCCCAAAAGAAAACGGAGAGTTTGTTACCAGAAGAGGGATGGGTCCTGGTTAGGCACCAATAACAGCTGTCCACAGTGAGATCTGTGGCTGAGGTTGTCCTTGCATGATTCCTACAGTAGCCATTTTCTGCATATCCTCCACAGGCAGAGGTCAATCTCATAAACATTTGTCAGTAATACTTGGACAAATTATTTTAACAATGGATGGCAGAGTCCAGCCAGATGCAGTCAAATGGCAGAAAAAGCATTAATCAAGCCTTAGGAGAAGAAAAGACTGGCCTAGGGGAATAGGAATGAAAGACTAGAAGGTGTCACGTACAGAGCAGCTCCTCTGGACTCTGTGCTGTGGGGGGGCTCGTCGATTCCCATGGTGGATCCTCATGGAGGTACATGTGGACCACAGAGACACTGTGAGTTTGGCCTCCATAAAGCAAATACCACAATAAAGTGAGCCGTACAAATTTCTTGGTTTCCCAATGAATATAGAAGTTATGTTTACACTGTACTGTAGTCTATGAAATGAGCAATAGCGTTAATGTCTAAAAAATGTACATATTTTAATTAAGAAATAATTTATTGCTAAAAGATGCTAATGAGCATGTGAGCCTTCAAGTCTTCTTGCTGGTGGAGGCTCTTGCTTGATATCAATGGCTGCTGATGGATCAGGGTGTGGTTGCTGAAGGTGAGGGCAGCTTGCTCTTGCACTTTTATACTATAGAGATGGTTTCTTTCCTTCAAGCTCATGAACCAGCCTCTGCTGGCTTCAGACTTCTCTTTGAAGAGAGTTGGAGCCACACTCTGGATGAGGCTGCGGCTTAAGAAAATGTTGTAACAGGTGTGATGTTATTTCTCAACAATGACAACTATCTCCGAGTCAGTGACTAGGCCGCTCTGCCTTCTCACTCGGGTGTTCACCGGAGCACTTTTCATTTCCCCCAAGATCTTTCTCTTGGTGTTCAGAGCTGGGTTAACTGTGGTGCAAGAGGCCTAGCTGTCTGCCTGTCTTGATTTTTGACATGCCTGCCTTATTAAGCTTTTCACTTCTGCCTTCTTATTTAAAATGAGATGTGTGACTCTTCCCTTCCCTTGAGGTCATTGTAGGCTTACTAAATTGGCCTAATTTCAATATTGCTGTTTCTCAGGGAATAGTGAGATCCAAAGAAAGGCAGAAAGACAGGGGAACAGACAGTCAGTGGAGCAGTCAGAACACATGTAACTTTATTATCAAGTTCACCATCTTATCTGGACATAGTTCATGGTGTCCTCAAACCATTACAGTACTAACATTAAAGATCACTGATCATACATTACCATGATGGATACAATAACAATGAAAAGAAAGTTTGAACCATTGCAGGAATTGTCAAAGCATGGCACAGAGACTTGAAGTGAGTGTGTGCTCTTGGAAAAATGACACCAATAGACTTATGTATGACTCAGAACTGTCACAAACCTTTAGTTTGTAAAAAGATGCAATGACCTGTGGAGCATCATAAAGCAAAGTGCAGTAAAAATGAGAAATGTCTGCATTGCTGCCTGCATTTTGCAGAGGAGTAAGCCTGAGAAGTTAAGAAACCCAGTGTCACAGCTATCAAGTGCTCTGTCCTCGAAGTCAGTTTTCTTTGTATGACATCAGTTCAGGTACACCCACTGCCCCCTCTTCCAGCCCGTGGGACAGTTGTCAGTGAAGATTCTCACCTGGCCATTGCTTTGTTTCACTAGAAGTCTTCACAGCTTTATCCTACCCTTCTTTAGTGAGAATAGTGATTATAATGTCACCAGGGGTGTCCCACCTTTGGCCTGTGGGCTGCATGCAGATTATTGGAGGCCTGTTTTGCTTGTCTGTGGTGGGAGATGTGATAATTCTGCACAGACCTTTTCTTTGCTCATCAGTTTTCATCAATGTATGTGCATTTAATTTGTGGCCCAAGACAACTCTTCTTCCAACATGTGGCAGAAAAATAAAAGCTCAGCCCCTCCTGTAAGCAACTTAGAGAAATAGTTCTAGATGATCATTCATAGTCCCACAATAAGCTGTGTTTTTTCTCTTCAGAAAAGAATATGTCTAGCTATTTTTTGGCATCATTGACTATAGAGATAAGTTTGTCCCTGAGTATGTGACTGTTGTGAAATATTGCCTTTACAGAAAGAATACAAGAAAGACCTAGAGTCAGAAATTAAAGGGAGAGGAATGCAAGTTGGCACTGACACCCTCGAAATACAGCGTGCCAAGAAAGCTACAGAGATGGCGAGTGAGGTGAGCAGGGGGAAAGACACAGACCCGGAAATTCATGTTTTGGAACTTAACAAATCATATTAACAATTTCATTTCTACATGGAATTTCTCAAAGCTTTGTGGCTAGTTTCACAGTTTGGAATGGAAACCATTCTAAAGCGTGACGCATATTTGGAAATTGACCTTTTTTGCTTTGCTCGTGTCCTTGAAATGCATCAAAGGAAACGTGGGGGAAGACACTTTAATGCAGAAAATACACACACCCCACACATATAACCTCCTCCACTATGCACTTCATTCCTTAGTGCAACAAAGTTCGTGTTCATCTAGGCTATAAAAATGTTTTTGTGATTTTTTTCTTTCCTTTAAGGATGCCTCATGGACTGGTGGGCATATCTGTGTTTTTAGCTTTTGAGCAGAATTTGGAAATCACACATTGAGATTAACATGAGAAGGATAGTCATTTCTGTGTGATTGTGTATTTTTGAAAATGTCCCCTCTCAACTTCTTCATCACATGTGACATTTCTGCAGAGTCAGCACTTTGGGATGAGGTCTACCGCATCCTGAATGACCAGCCATGTTCACTCTTCCGACCCCATTTTCCTCTTCAGCAGCAGGATGTTAATTTGGAAGTTTGGTTTTAGATGCTGTGATATGATAGATGTCTCATCACAGCATGGGGACGTGGGAGTTGGAGTATATGTGTATCTTTCTTTTTTCTTTTCTCTTATTTTTTGAGACAGAGTCTCACTATGTTGCCCTCAGTAGAGTGCTTTGGCATCATAGCTCAGAGCAACCGCAAACTCTTGGGCTTAAGTGATTCTCTTGTCTCAGCTTCCCAAGTAGCTAGGACTATAGGTGCCTACCACAATGCCTGGCTATTTTTGTTGTTGTCATTGTTGTTTAGCAGGCCTAGGCCGGGTTTGAACCTGCCATCCCTGGTGTATGTGGCTGGTGCCCTAGCCACTGAGCTACAGGCTCTGCGCCTATATGTGTATTTTTCAAAGGAAATTCCCAGAAATGGTTGTGTACCTCTTGAACTTCCCAGTGATTCAGAGAATATACAAGGATCACTGCAATGAGGAGTACTTGGGATGAGATGATCTGAGAAGTGTATGGGACCAGAAAGCTGGGGTGTAGCTTACTTAACAGCTGGTGCCCATGCCCACTTATTTCTGGCTGGTTAGGTAGAAATACCAGTTCTGGGGTGCCTCTGAGCTGTTATGTGACCCTTGCCCTTACAAGGAGCTGATGCAGAAATGACTCCCATCACCCAGTAAGTGTGCCTTCACCCATCCCTTTCCCCCTCTCCCTTGTTTGATTTCCACTGAGTCTTCTGGTTAGTTCCAGTTTAACAGAGAGCACATGTGCTGTTCACTTTTCTTATTCTTTAGATATTCCTCTTAGGTTAATGATCTCCAGTGCCACCCAAATTGCTATGAAAGACATTAATTCATCTTTTTTATGGTTAAGTAGTATTCCATGCTATGCATATACATTTTGTTAATCTCCTCATGCTTTGCTGGGCACTTGGATTGCTTCCACAGTTTTGCAGTTGTAATTGTGTGGTAACAAAACATTTGCATGCAGGTGTCATTTTGATAAAACGACTCCTTTATCTCTTTTGTGTAGATACCCAGTAGTGGGATTGCTGGATCGAATGGTTGGTCTACTTTTAGTTCTTTGAGGAATTTCCAAACTATTTTCCACAGAGGTTGTGCTAATTTGCAGTCCCACTGGCAGTGGATACGCGTTCCTTTCTCTCTGCATTGATGCCAGCATCTGTTTTTTTTTAATTTTTAATAAAAGCCACTCTAATGGATGAGGTGGTATCTCACTGGGGTTTTGATTTGCATTTTCCTGAAAATTAGCAATAATTAATTTATCAAGTCCTATTCATTTATTTTGGTTGTTGACCTCATTTGTATCTTCCTCATAAATTATTTGCTTAGGCTGATACATAGATCTAGAAAATTTTTCCTGTATTTTCTTCAATAATTCTTATGGTTTCATGCCTTACATTTAAATCTTTTATCCATCTTGAATTGATTTTTGTGAGTAGTGAGAGATATGGATCCTCTTTCATTCTTTTGCACGTGGCTATGTAATTTTTCCTGTACCATTTATTGAATAGGGCTTATTTTCCCCAGGGAGTATTGCTTTTTACTTTATCAAAAATCAATTGGCTATATATGGATGGCTTTCTATCTGGGTTGTCTGTTCTGATCCATTGGGCTGTGTCTCTATTTCTGTGCCTATACCATGCTGTTTTGGTTACTATAGCTTTATAGTATAGTTTGAAGTCTAATGATGTGATGCCCCAGATTTGTTCTTTTTGCTTAAGATTGCTTCGGCTATTTGTGCTCTTTTCTGGTTTCAATTGAAGGGGAAAATTATTTTTTTCTAGATGTATAAAATATGATGTTGATATTTTGATGGGGATTATGTTCAATCTGTAAATCACTTTGAGTAGCATGGACATTTTAACAGTGTTGATGCTACCTATCTCTGAGTGTGATAACGTTTTTCCATTCATTTGTGTATTCTGTAATTTCTTCCTCAGTGTTTTAAAGTTCTCTTTATAGAGCTCTTCCACCTCTTTGGTTAAGTAGATTCCGAGGTATTTTATCTTTTTGTAGGTATTATGAATGGTATTGAGTCCTTGATCTGATGCTCAACTTGACTGTTACCAGAGTACAGAAATGTTACTGATTCATATACACTGATTTTATAACCTGAGTCTTGGCTGACTTTATCAATTCCAGGCATCTTGGTGGAGTCTTTGAGGTTTTCCAGATATAAGATCTTATCATCAGTGAATAGCAATTGTTCTACCTCTTCTTTCTTGATTTGGATATCGTTTATTTCTTTCTCTTGCCTGACTGTTCAGGCTAGGACATCCAGTATTATGGTGGATAGAAGTGGTGACAGTGGGCAGTGAGCCTGACGGGTTTTCCTTTGTATCTTATTTAATGTTTTTACCTCATCATGGTTTGGAGTTCCTTCTGCATGTTGATTTTGGCCAGTCTGATGACTGTGTATCTTGGTGATTGCATCTTTGCAATGAATATGCCAGGTGTTCATTGAACTTCTTATATCTGGATGTGTAAATCTCTAGTAAGATCAGGAAAGTTTTTCTCAATTATTCCCCCAAATAGGTTTTCTAGTCCCTGTGAGTTTTCTTCTTCACCTTCAGGGATGCCAGTGATTCTCATATTTGGCCATTTTACATAATCCCATATTCTTACAGGCCTTGTTCATTCCTCTTAAATCTTTTTTCTTTATTTTTGACTGATTGACTTAATTTGAAAGAGTTGTTTTCAAGTTCTGAAATTCTTTCTTGTGTCTGGTTTAGTCTGTTCTTAAAAATTTCCATTGTGCTTGCTTTTTTTTTTTCTTCTTATGATATTTTTTTGTATGAGTTCTGAGCATCAGCTTTGGGGTGTTATGTAGTTTGAAGTTTGGTGATGGGAAGCCTTCAGATTTGCTTAATATGTCTATCTCTTTAATAAATTTTTCATTCATTTTCTGAATCATTTTTCTGGTTTCTTTGAGTTGTTTTCTCATTTTCTCTTAGATTTCATTGAGCTTCCTTATAGTCCATATTTGGAATTCTTTATCTGTAATTTTAACATTTTCATCTTAGTTGGGATCCAGTGCTAGAAAGCTTGTGTCGTGTCCCCTTTGGGGGTGTCCTTTTGCTCTGATTCTTTATAGTTCTGGGGTTTTTGCGCTGATTCCTCTCATCTGGAGCAGCTTTCATGTTTCAGGACCAGGCCTCACTCCCCATCCCCCTGCTCTGCACTCTCCCTCCTCCAGGCAGGAGCTGAAACTAGCTATGCTTCCCCATGATGGTAGTGCCAGCTGGGAGCCTCCTTGTCCAGGATTCCACTCTAGCTGAGAGCGTGGCCTTCCTGTGTGGGGAGGGTGCTCTATAAGTGCGCTATAGCTCAGATCCAGACTGCATTCCCCTTTCAGTTCTGCCCACGTGGACTTCTTCCCTCTGGAGATTAGTTCCTACATCACTCTTCTGGGCCCCAACCAATACTATTGAGATCTGGGGTCTTGGGATCTAGCCTGCTGCCCCTGTCCCTGGGTCCCCAAAGATCAGTTCCTGTGAATCTCAGACAGCTCTGGCCCCACTAGCAGACTTTCCCACTTGGTGGGACCACCTCAGCCCCTCCCCTGGTGGCTGCTCCCAGCAGCCTGGTCCTTTGACCCCTCCCCTACCTTACCAGCTTTTGTTGAGCCTGAGGGCAAGTTCACCCAACCCAGCCCCACCCAGTCACACTCCAACCCTCCCTCCATCAACCCTTCCACCATCCCCCTCTGCTGTGGTGGAGAATAAGGAATCCCTTTGGAGTTCCAGTCCCCATCCACCACCTAGTACTTCTCCTGAGGGGCTAGAGCTGGTCACAGGCCCCCCCAAAACACTGTAGCTTGTTGCTTCCAGCAACCACCATCTACTGACAGGGAGGTCAGTTTGCATGCCCTTTACAACATTTAGTGATTCAGTCACATAGTGTGGGGTTGACTCTTACCCATAAGCACCACCTTATCACAGGGATTAAACTGGGTGTGCTGGTATAATTCACACTGTTAAAAAGATCACAGACATGGGAAAAGACCACAGGGATGTCCCTCACATCACAGGGAGACAGGGAATCTGTCCACATACATAGCTCACCACTGGTATAGCCTACAGACAACTACCCACTGCAAACCACCAGACTAAGGATATCTATAACCAAGGATCCTTCCAGAGCCTACGCCACTATCAAAGCACCCACTAGCAAAGTCAAAGGTTTGACTGTATCTGTACCTAACATATGCTACAGATATGCCCTCATGAGTTGGAGAGCTGGGAAACCCTATTTAAACAAAAGAAAATCCCAAAAGCATTCTAGCTTAGGCAAGAGGGTAAGACTAAAGAGAAAGCAGATAATTTATTGTTCTTATGACTAGACATGGTCCTGACACAGAAGTGACATCATAGTTGTTCGGCACAGTTTTTCTGTATGTCTCATAGCAACAGTACAGTAGTTCTTAGGCATGGCTTGGTCTAGGACTCAAGTAATGAGATGCAGTTGCAGTTCCTATCTTTCAGTTCTCAGGTAGGCTTTCTTCTCCTGTTTTCAAAGAGACTCCCAGCTGCTCTGGCGGCTGCATCCCTCTTCATTCATGTCCAGGAGAAAAGAGAAAGTCTCTTCTAATATGTTATATGGGAAAAGAAATGCATTCACACCTGCAGCAATCATGCAGGGTGAGGAATGGGAAATAATGATTTATTTCAGCTCAACAAAGCTCGAATCTAGTCCAGTCTCACCCAAGCTCAAAGGTGGATAATGGCAGAGCAGCAAGTTGCCCCCTGGGAGATCAGGGAGCCAACAAAGGGCAAAGAAAGGTGAATTCCAGGGAAGCAACCAACACTTTAATTCACTGCAGAGTAAAAAGCAGCAATATAATCACTTTTCATTGACGTTTATCAACTGGGTTACACATGTAATACTAATATGAAACATGCTATATGAAAACATGTGAAGTCTACCATATTGAAATATAAAAATTTCCCCTTGGCTATCTCTGTTTTCTTTCTTAATCCAGGTCAGTAGCAAAAAGCCTTCTGATTACTTGTGACTATGTCATCCCAAGTCACGTTTCGAGCATAAGTTAAAATTTTTTCTTGTTATATAGAAATAAAAGAAATACAAGTCTAACTTGATTCCAAAAGACATGATCCTGATGTAAAAATGACATTGAAGTTGTTCAACACACAGTGTCTCAGATGGTTGGAAAGTCCTGACTGTTTGTTTCATTTTCTGCAGAAAGACTATAAAAGGGATCTGGAGACTGAAATTAAGGGGAGAGGAATGGAGGTGAACACAGACACTCTTGATGTCCAGAGAGCTAAGAAAGCATCCGAAATGGCCAGCCAGGTAAGGAAATAGTGAGATTAAAGATTTTAAAGCAAGCACATTGAATCAAATGTAGAAGGAATGTAAATGTTATTTCCACATGGGTAGCTGTGATATCCAAGCCTGTAAATACCAACATTGCTATTGAAGGTTAAACAAAATCCTAAGATTTGTTTCCCTATTCTTTTAGAAACAATATAAGAAAGACTTAGAAAATGAAATTAAAGGGAAAGGAATGCAGGTGAGCATGGATATCCCAGACATACTTCGAGCCAAGAGGGCATCTGAAATCTACAGCCAGGTTGGTAGAGAATGAGGATGCTTAGAATCACGTGTTCTAACATCTGATCACCATATACTTGGTGTGTGTCCAAGATGTATATCTTTTTTAAAGGGCAGTGCTTTCGAATTTAGTATACTTCTTTATTAAGAAACCGTTGGCCAAACTTGATCCACTTTACCAATGAAAAGGACAACTGTTATAGGTTTAATTCAACAGACATTCATGGAGTGTCCAAAGCCTCTCTATTGGGACCCCTTGTTTTGAGTTTGAGGACATTTTTGACTTTTTTTGTTTCCTTTTTCTTTTTGCTTCATTGCATGCATGGCTTCAAATCCTCATTGCTCATACTATAAAGGAAGAGTTACAAATGATTTGTGTTTGAACTATTTCATAATGAATGTTGTTATTAAGATAATCAGCTCTAAATAAAACTAATGGCAGCTAAAACTGCTCAAGGTATAAGGTGAAATTTGACATTAACTAAACATTAAGAGCTGTTTTACCTATAAAATTTAGATTTGCCGGGGTGGTGCCTGTGGCTCAAAAAGGTGGGGCACTGGCCCCATATGCCAGAGGTGGCAGGTTTAAACCCAGCCCTGGCCAAAAAAAAAAAAAAAATTTAGATTTGCCAAATATACTTGTCACATATTCTTTAAAAAAACTGTAGTGTGGGAGAAATAATAACTACAAAAGAAAATCATAGATGAAGATATTTATAAGCTCTGATTTAGACAAAAACATTATTTAGTGAATAAGATTTTTGCTATAGAATTTACATGAAGAAGAATGAACCCCAGTGGGGGGGAAAACAGTAATGAGGCATTAAAAAATTAAAATTATTTTAGAAAATTGACCATGGAATTAAATTTGATTAATGGAATTTGTACCAAAAGTAATTTTCAACAAATTTTGGTGAAATTTATTAAAATTCTGGCTCAAGCATAAGCCAAGTTAGATAACAATACATTTAACTTTAAGGGATTTTAATCCCTTTAGAGGACAATGGGATCCTTAAGAGGATGCAGTGATGCTGTGGTACATTTCAACCTGAATAGTAGTTGTCTTTTTTCATAAACACCAGCATGTCATCATGGTTCATTAACTTCACTGTCTTTGGAACCAGAATGCCTGGTTTTAACTGTAGCTCTGATGTACTCTGTCTAGTTCTTCAGTTTCCCCATCTGTAAGAGGGCGGGGATAATAACAGTATCTGCTGGTGGGTTGATTAAGGGAGTTAATGTGTTAAGTGTTCAGAATAATGGCCATTACACAACATTTACTATGTAAGTGCTGGCGCTCCTATAAGGAATTGCCCAGCTTGTATTAGAACTTAGAGTAGTGCATTTAGTGGATAGAAAATTGAGATTTTTATCCTGAATACAAAGTACTAGGGTATTTCCTTTGACCAAATGGATCTTTACCTGAAGTAGGAAGCAAAGATAAAAATCCAGAAGCATCAAAGAGCCAGGCTACTTGCAGGAGTTATGGTGCCATTTGGACAGGAACTCATATGCTTAGGAATGAGTGGATCATGAGGGGCCAGCCCTCCAAGGTGGACCCGGGTGGCACCATAGCCTGAGCAGGTCTGGTGGACTGAGTGCTCACTCTGTTTTCTTTCTTTCTTTCTTTTCTTTCTTCTCTTTCTTTCCTTTCCTTCCTTTCTTTGTTTTCCTTTCTTTCCCTCCTTCCCTGTCTCCCTTCCTCCTTCCCTCCCTTCCTTCCCTTCCTGCCTCCACCCCTTCCTTCCCTCCATTCCTTCCTTCCCTCCCTCCTTCTCTCCCTTCCCTCCCTCTTCTCCCTCCCTTTCTCTTTGTCATCCTGGATAGAGTGCTTTGGCATCATAGCTCACAGCAACCTCAGTCTCGGGCTCAAGTGATCCACTTGCCTCAGCCTCGCAGGTAGCTGGGACTATAGGCACCCATTTATGCCTGGCTACTTTTTTAGAGACAGGGTCTTGCTCTTGCTCAGGCTGGTCTTGAACTTGTGAGCTTAGGCAATCCACTGGCCTCGGCCACCCAGAGTGATGGGATTACAGGCATGAACCACCGTTCCCAGCTGCTTCCTTTATTTTTGCTGTTGCCTCAACAACTGCTTTGAATCTTAAGATATTTAGAGCCATGTGGTAGAATAGAATTGGGAAAAAGGGTATTGTTGTCTGTGTTGCTTTGTCTCTGTCTCTCTCCCCCTCACTCCCTTTGCCACAGTTTCAGATTCATAATAATTGTTTATATTTTTAGAAAAAGTACAAAGATGAAGCAGAGAGGATGCTTTGTAACTATTCCATTGTGGCAGATACCCCTGAAATTCAGAGAATTAAAACTGCTCAGCAAAACATTAGTGGGGTGAGTAGCCACTAAGTCTTCTTAGTTGCCGCCTTGGAAGTTTATGTTTGGTAGCAAATGGTCTTTTGTCCTCCTTCTCCAATATTCTTGCTGTATTATTTGAATTTTATGTCAAATGTATTACCTACATTCCTTTAAAATAATAATCATCTTACAAATTACGATCTATCATGATTGTTTTAGAGTTAAACATTCAAATTTTCCTCCTTGGTACTGTTGACAGTTATGAACTAAATTTTAAAATTTAACTCAGGAAAGAGGTCTTCATCGTCCCCATAGATTTTACTTTGAAGATGAAAACATCGTATGAAGTGATTTTCTTTCTTGTCCCTAATTATCTGCAGTGAGAATGATGTAGGGGGATTCACTAATTTGTAACCAACTCCTAAACTTCCATATTTTCACTTTGAGGAATAGTAATTACATCAGCACAGTGTTTCCTTGATATGTGAACTTGACTTCTGTTCTAAAATTATAAAAATTGACCACACAGTCAATACTGTCATGTAGAATTAGCTCAGTCGTTTAGCAGGTGAGCAAACCTTATCAAAACGTAAATACTATTTAGTTTGAGGACTTCTGGAATATTCTCTACTTTCTAATTAACTGGCAAGCTCTTGCCTCAAGGTGTGCTGGTCAGGTGCGTATTTTCACCAGGTGGGCCAGGGTATGCTGAGAAATGGACAGAAGTCTGAGAAAAGTCTCTCTAGAACTCAACCTGTAGGTCATGACCCCTACAACCCTCAGAAAACACATCCTGCATATCAGATATTTACATTACGATTCCTAACAGCAGCAAAATTACAGTTAAGAAGTAGCCACGAAAATAATTGTATGGTTGGGGGTCACCACAACATGAGGAACTATATTACAGGGTCGCGGCATTAGGAAGGTTGAGAACCACTGCTCTAGAAGGATCTGGGAGAAGAGGCCATTTTGGCCCCTCCATCCTGTGATTTTATGCCATTCCAGATTTCTAGTTTTGGGAGGCAAACATCTCTCCTTCTTTGCTCTCCCACTATCACTGGAGCCGACCGGATTACCAAATGTCAAGACAGGGAGTAATTCTGTCCTCAAAAATGCTTCTTAAAATTTCTCAGTTTTTCTGTAGAGCACTCTTGTTTTTTACTGTGCTTTGTATTTGACAGTAGTGGGTGTTGGTAGTTGGAGACACGTGGGAAGATTAACCAGTACGTGGAAGATGAGGAAAATAGACTTTGAATTAATGTTGATATTGACAACAGACCTAATATTTGAAAAAAAAAACGAGGGGCATCTTTGTATTTGGGGAACAGCAATTGCTTAAAATTTTATGCTGTTTATGATAAATGCTTAGCGAGCCTTTGTAATATGTGCTTTGATTTTTCTCAAATACACAGGTGGCATGTATTTATATTTGATAAAACTCTGGTTTGCCAATTTATATTCATAAAGCAAATAATATGCAGCTAAGTAAGGCAGCAGTCATGCTCTAGAACATGGTATTAGATGGCTACATGTAAGATTATGGGATATGAAACCAAAGTTGGACATGTATTACCATAATAGATTGCTAAATATAATATTTGCACTCATAAATAGCTGAAGCTAAGTATTCACATTACTATAAAACCTGAGAAATTGTCTTGCTTTTATAAGAATCGGATCTGCAACTTGAATTCTGACAACCTTTTAGTTATTCTCTTCCTTCTCTTATAATAAAGGTATTTTATAAAAAAGAAGTGGGAGCTGGATTAGCAGTAAAAGATACTCCAGAGATTGAACGTGTGAGGAAAAACCAGCAGAATATCAGTTCAGTAAGTCCTCTCTGGCATTCATTATCCTTTCCAAAAGCAAACAGAAGCTCGATGAGTGTTTTTATTTTCTCGACTCCACTGACTGCTCTTCTTTTCTTCTTCACTTTATTGAATGGCTCTTACATCAAATAGCAAAGGCCTAACTTTTTGCAGGAAAACTATAGCCTCGTTCCACTTGACTCTGAAGCAGTGTTTCATTTTGATAGATCATCGTGAAGACGAGAAAGGTCATTTTAATGAAAGCTTGGATTGGATTCCATCTCTTTGAACAGAATCTTAAGTATATTAAATTTTGCAGAGAAAGGAGAGATCCCAACTTCTCTCCGCAACTTGCAGGCAGAAATTTTACCCTGATAGAATGATGAAAGGCCTCAAAACAGCTATTTGCTGGCTTAAACAGAGGTTTAGACTTGAAAAAGAAAATAATCATTACCAGTACATTTCTGTCTCACCTCAGTCATATTTCTGAGCTTTCCCTGAGATACATTTCTGCCCATATTTCTGTTTCCAAGACCCATTTACTTTCTACTTGTACAGCAAAGAAAATCACACCCCTTCACAAAGAATTGTAAAATAACTGACTCTCCACTTACTTTTGGGCTGGGGGGAAAGGTGGAGGAGGTGCTTAATGTACAATTAACGGTATTTTCCATTCAGCTCTTGACATTTGCAGTAGATAATTGCCCTCCTTACCAATAGGCATTCTGCCATGGATATTTAGCATGCAGTAGACCCTCTGTGAGTTGACCACTCAAGGGACCGTAACAAACTGGTCAAAATACAGAGGTGGCCTACCGTACTGATATGTACATGTGGTGCATGTCTAGTCTGTGAAACTTAGGTCAACTGAAGGAGCTATGGAGGGTCTGCTGTATTTAGTTTCTTGTTGAGGACGTAAAAAGGATTCTTTCCTTAAATCCTCTTTTCTGACTTAACTCTTCACCTTCACCTTTGGACTTAATTCCTTCCAGAACTACTGTGTTTCCCCGAAAATAAGATACTGTCTTATGTTTATTTTTTCTCAAGAAGACACACTAGGGTTTATTTTCAGGGGAGGTCTTATTTTTATTAAGTATCATACAACAATCTACATTTATTCAAATACAGTGAAGTCATCTTCTTCTGGAACCTGACGGGGGAGCCGACCTTGTTGGTGGGGCTGGTGCTAGTGAGGCCTCCTTTCCTCTAGCCGTTTGCCCATGTGCAATAGGATGCCTGTGACCACGGTTACCAGACACGCACCTGCGCAAGTGCGAATGGCTCAGAGAAAGGAGCTGTGGTAGATAAAAGGTATTCCAGTCTTCCTTACAGCTCCGCTCAGTGCCAAAATGCATGGCATAGCTATGCAGATACGCTGCATAGCCACGCCCATCACTAGGTCTTATTATCAGGGTAGGGCTTACATTTAACAAATGCATAGAAATCCTGCTAGGGCTTATTTTGGGGGTAGGTCTTATTTTCAGGGAAACATGGTATTCTGAAGGTGACCCAAGTAGAACTGCTTTGATGAGACTTGTCCTTGGGTAACCTTGAATGTTTTGAGAATACGAGCAGGTGTTAGCATTTCTGGAGATAGCAAGTGGGAAAGGCAGGGGTGTCATAGCAAAACATGTTTCAGAATAAAAAAGAAATATGAAGAGTACGAGTGCAATCAGATCTCTGTAGCATGCATGAAGCTATCTGCCGAAGAAGCAGAAGGAGAAAATAAAGGTATTTTATAAAAAAGAAGTCGGAGCTGGACTAGTCATCAGTGACACTCCAGAGAGTGGCGATGTGTAAATGTGTCCCCCACCAGGGTGAGGGCCCGTGTCAGGCAGCATTCAGGTCTGGTAGAAAATTAGGTTGGGAGAGAAGTATAAAATGTTTGTTTCTTTCGCTTGAGAGTGATGCTATTTGAAATATACCCATCAGTCTACTGTGATATAATATTATAAATGTTCTATAGCGCACAATTCTATAGCCTACGGTGCAATGACTGTGCCATTTTGATGAGTTTAGAGTCGTATGAAAAACAAAAATGTTCATTTTTAATCATGTTTAGCTTCTCACCTGAGGAAAATCACACAAAGTGGGAACACCGATGTCATTTCTTTTCTCCGCATCCCGCGGTCTCTTCCAGCAAACAGTAAATACACAGTTCCGTAATCTCTACAAGGTTGGGCCGTAAACTTCTGCTTAGTATTCAAATGGAAAGTTGCCCTTTCAAGATTAGCTAGATCTGTCAAACCGAGATATGACTCTCTAACATTTAAAGATCTCGACATTTTCCACCTCCAGAGTACAAGCCTTTTAGCTATTAGCTCTCTGTGTTAAGAACTATTTTTGAATTTTATTTAGAGGTAGCCTTTCTCTGTGAACTTTCCATTTAACTGTTTTGGGTGTGGACTGTCAGCATTGTTGCACCTATTAAATCCATAGACTCTATGTAGATGATGTGTGAGGTACTGTTTCTTTATGACAGTCAGCGTGGATTTCAGCCTTCAGCATTTGAAGCATTATCAAGCGATTTCTGAAACATGGTTTGTGCAGCTTTAGGTCTTTGCAGAATTTCAACGTAGGTCTCTTAAATACAGCCTCTACTTCCGTGTATGTATATCTGAACGTGTCTTTTTTCTCAAATCCAATCTTCATGAACTTCAGATAGACGTAGTAAAATACCATCTGAAGTGATGGCATCACTAATTATTTTGTTAACTTCAAAGAGCTATTTCTTGTCCCATGCAAAACTGGGTGCTGGGATTACCATTTGCCTGGTGGATTTTCTTCTAAGTACATTTGAAGGGAGAACTTAAAAGAAGTGGCTGCTTGGATAAAGATGGGCTTTTCATAACATGATTGTGTACATAAAAGACACCCCCTGACTTTCTGGCTCTGACCCGTCCTGTAGTGATCAGGGCTCAGTGCTCTGTCTGTCTACATTTCTCTCTGTCTTCTTCTATCTCTTCTTTGAGTGGTCCCTTTATTTTTTCCCTAATTCTAAATTACATGTGTGTTCTCACTCAGACAAGCAGTGTTCTCAAGACTGTGTGACCGAAACAATTTAACTGTTGCCTTTAAATACATGTTAAATTTTAATTACCTCATTAATAGATAGAAACTGGTTTTTTTGGATAGGAAATCATAAGTTGTTATCTCTGTTATTTAAGATAATTTCCAAGGTTTCATCATGCTTCTGCCTAATGATAAAATTTATTTTCAGTAGATAATACTTGCTTATTTTAATTAAAAAACTTTTCCAGTGGTAGATAGGTGAATAGATAGGATCTTATTTATGCCTTTGGATAAAGGAATCCTGAAAACGTCAGCTAAAATAAAAAAAATTGTGTTCCCCATGAAGGAAAAGTAATGTTGGAATTACAAAAAATCAATTATGCAGTAGTTACAAAGGAAGAATTGTTAACTATTTTTAAGCCTTGTGTAAGATGAAATTAACATCATATTCTTATAAATTATGCAGGTGAAATACAAAGAGGAGATTAAACAGGCAACAGCCATTTCTGATCCTCCAGAGCTGAAGAGAGTGAAAGAAAACCAGAAAAACATCAGCAATGTGATCATATTTCCTTAAGTATTTTTTTTTCTATTTTATTGGATACCAGTGTATAATAAGGGTATAACACCTGTACAGGTAAAATTCCACTACAGTGAATACCATTGCAAGGTCAGTTCCTTAAAAGTGAAGATAACATTTTACACAATTTTACATCCTGCAATACCCCTAGTGCTTTGTGTACATTAGTTTATCAAGGAAATGTGTTATTGAAAGTCTACTTTGTTCTTGTTGTTGGGAGATTTCAAAGATGAGTAAGATACCCTGAGCTCAGGGGCCATGCATATTCTCAAGATTGCCAGGGGGAAACAGGCACAGGAATATATAACTATTTTGAATTAAGTGCTGTAACAATAACTAATACTGGCTGGCTGCTTACTGTGCTTTCTGATAGATAATAGATACTTTGCATCTATTATCTCGTTTAACCATAAGCATTAATATCTCTTGCAAAGTGCTGGGGCAACAGAGAGAAGGAAGGTTATTCAGTGGGAGAAAGGAATAGGCTTTGGGGAAGGACACATGTTGGAATTAGATCTGGAAGAATCAGTCAAGGTTTGGGTGGATTTTGTGAGGAAAGGTATTCCTGGCAGAGCAGACCAAGTATGTTCAGGATCACGGGCCTGTTCAGAAAGGAGAAGTTTTAGAGTGTTAAGTGCTTAGAGTAAAAGATGGCAGGAGATGATGGTGGAGAGGACAGTGGTACCTGAACTGAGTCCTATGCTCTCCCCCAAATGCAGTTCAGGTACCATGTGGCATTCAAAAATTTTGTAAGTTGGGTGGCGCCTGTGGCTCAGTGAGTAGGGCGCCAGCCCCATATACTAAGGGTGGCGGGTTCAAACCTGGCCCTGGTCAAACTACAACAAAAAAGTAGCTGGGTGTCATGGCGGGCACCTGTAGTCCCAGCTACTTGGGAGGCTGAGGCAGAATCACCTAAGCCCAAGAGCTGGAGGTTGTAGTGAGCTGTGACACCACAGCACTCTACCATGGGTGATAAAGTGAGACTCTGTCTCTAAAAAAAAAAAAATTGTAAGTAGTCCATCAATGGCTCATGATTAAATTGTTTTAATGTTTACCTTCTTTTAAAAGAAGGGTTATGAGGGTTAACTAGTCTTCAATTTCTGGTAGAAACTTAATGCTTTCTTGAAATAACTTTATTTAAATCTAATAGTTTATTTAATGAAAAGTAACACTATAACAATATAGGTCCTAGTTACTTATCTGCTGTGGCATATGGAAAGTGGGAGTTAGGTCTTTAAACAGATAGTGCCTGTTAGACACATAGCATGTTTGTGAGTGGATGAATGGATGCCATGAAAATTCTCCCTGGCCAATTTTTGTCCAAAATTACATCCACTGGAAATTGTAATAGTTTCTCTATATTGGTAATAACAGTCTGTTATTCAGGTTTTTCCCCTTTGAGCTTTATCCAGAGTGATCTTTCCTTGAGTCTTGTCATCAGTAGAGATTAAATGGAAACTTTGTTCTTGTTAACTCAGTCATCCCAGTTGCAAGAATCCGCCTAATCTCTTGACTTAAAAGCTTGACTTTTGCCTGTCAAAAATTAAATTGATGGCCGAAAATTAATTTGATGGCCTTGTCATTCTGTTCTTCCATGGTGATACTCACTTATTTCTTGGTGTGTTGTGAAATTGCTGGGAAGGATGACCACAGACAAGGGAGTCCGATATCCCAGCTAAGATAGAACACTGCTATGCAGTAAGTCAGGGAAATTTCCGTGGTCCCTGGTCAGAGTCAGGGCTTCCAAGGTTAGAACTTCTTAGAGAAGGAAGGAGGGTACAGGAACCTCTGTACAATGAACCTTCTGTAGTCATGTGACATTTCCTTTAATTTGTGCCAATACTTTGGGACATCTTTATTCCTCATAATCTCAAACTGTCTTGCATCTTACCTCCCAGCTCCAGTATAAAGAGCAAAGCTACAAGGCCACTCCGGTAAGCATGACCCCAGAGATAGAGAGAGTGAGGAGGAACCAGGAGCAGCTGAGTGCTGTAAGTTGTTTCTGTTTCTTTTTTCTTTTTTTTTGAGATAGAGTCTCACTTTGTCGCCCTTGGTAGAGTGCTGTGCCATCCATAGCTCATAGCAACATCCAACTCTTGGGCTCAAGCGATCCTCTTGCCTTAGCATCCTGAATAACTGGGATTACAGGCACCTGCCACAAGGCCCAGTTATTTTTAGAGATAGGTCTCCCTCTTGCTCAAGCTAGTCTTGAACTCATAAGCTCAAGCTGGTCTTGAACTCTCGAGCTCAGGCAATCCACCCTCCTTGGCCTCACAGAGTGTTAGGATTACAAGTGTGAGCCACCACGCCTGACCTTTATTTTTTATTTTTTCGAGAGACAGAGCCTCACTCTTTAGCCTTGGGTAGAGCGCCATGGTGTCATCATAGCTCATGGCAACCTCAAACTCTTGGGTTCAAGAAATCATCCTGCTTCAGCCTCCTGAGTAGCTGGGACTATAGGTATCCAGCTATAATGTATATCCTCACTACAATGTCCGGCTAGTTTTTCTATTTTTAGTACACATGAGGTCTTACTCTTGCTCAGGCTGATCTCAAACTCCCGTGCTCAAGCAGTCCACCTGCCTCAGCTTCCCAGAGTGTTAGGATTACAGGTGTGAGCCACTGCTCCCAGCCTCTGTTTCCTTTTATAGTTCATCAGACTTTACATATCTTAGTTTTTAATGTGCCTGTTCAAAAGCTTTAAATGCACCGTGTGTTTGGATGCTTCTTTTCACATTCACACATCGAAGGGCATGAACTGTATGTCCAGAAAGCTCAGGACCGAGTTGCTACACCTTAGCCTTATTCAAGAGTTCTTCATTAAGCACCAGATGTGCCAGGCATCTTTCTGGCTACCAAAACACAAAGACCCATGTCCTGTCCTCATGGACCTCTTAGTTCAGTCAATAAATCTCTAAAACTGAATCCAGGTAAGGGCCTGGAGAATAGTACTTCTGTTGCCAGACTGGGAAGAAAAACCTTATCTGTTGGAACAGGTGGAAAAAAGGCCTGGCTTCACTGACTGTTCTAAGACTTAATGGCATCAAGGTGAGGATCCTTATGAATAAAATCGTTCAGTAGTCTATTGTGAATGAAGCAAATAATAGTTAACACTGATGAAGCACCTCTCCTGCATGTCGGCCCCATGAAGTCAGCACTTTTCATTTCTCTGGTTGGTAGATGTGAGAAACTGAGTCTTGGGGAGGTCAGAGGCCATGCCAGGGACCCACAGTTGGTAAAAGCAGAGCTGGGATTTGAACCCAGGCCTCTTATGATTCAGAAATACTTTCGGGCGGTGCCTCCCAAATAGTTATTTGACCTTTTCTGGATTTCTTAAAGCAACATAACAGTAGACTTTTTCTTCCCTCAAAACAGGTGATTTTGAAAAGCTTTGAAATTTAAGAGTGAGTTCTCTCTGGTGGAGATTGTCAGCCTTAGACTTGTTTATCCTTGTAATGTCCCCGGGAGGTGGCAGGAATGAGAGAGCTCTAGAAGGTCAGAGGCCTTCCCAGGCTGCTGCGTCGTCTCGGTCACTACCGTTCTCTTGTAATGATTTCATTCTGGTGTTTCTATTTTAAGCATGTTCCCTTGTACAAGGGCTGTCTGGAAAGTATCCAGCCATTGTTAATACGATCTTTCGTAGCCCACGGCTGGATACTTTCCAGACAGCCCTTGTATTTCCATTCCTTTTATTCATGGGATTTACAGTTAATTTTGATACTGAACAGCTAAGTATTTGTGGAAGTCGGACTTTGAAATGGCGCAGCCAACATCCCACACCTGCTAAGTCAGCCTGATGGGAATCTAGGCGTAGATAACAAGTAGGAAAGGCTGACGTTGCTCTCCCATGGGGGGGAAATGTATAAAAAGATAGGGTTATCGTCATCCTCTGTGGCTGTTTAGGTGGGGGCGCATTCTGCTGCCCATTAAAATTCTTCTTTATCTTCCACAGGTAAAATACAAAGGAGAGATGAAACAGGCAACTGCCATTTCCGATCCGCCAGAGCTGAAGAGAGTGAAGGAGAACCAGAAGCACGTCAGCAATGTGCGGGCACCTCGTAACTCTGTCCCCACAGCCCAGACACGTTGTCAACATGGAAAACAAGGGGTTGTGTTTACAGAATTTTCACAACCTGGAGTTCATATTCTGCTCTCGATCAACTAACAATTTATTTGAAAGCTTTCCGAGTCTTAGTTACGGTGGATGGAGTCTGGCATTGCCCATCTGGCGTTCCCCATCTCCGGCATCTCAGTGACATGCGGGATGATAGTTTTTTCTGACAGGTCGTGGTGTATCCCTCGTATCTTCTCTTCATGCTGTGATATATGTAGGTGCTGTGTTTCCTCAAAGGGAAGCAGTGGTGGCGTCTGGCATCTGGGTCCTACAACGAGTCTTTCCATTCCCTTTTCTACCTGTGTGTGGTCTTGTTCATGGGCTTCCTCCCAGCCTCCTTCTGCCCCAGTGTCTGGGAAGAAATGATAGACCTGTGCGTGGCTATTAGGTCCTATGGGGCAGGGCTATTTCAGGCTCAAGGGATCAAGGGCCTGGCAGTTCCTGCTTAGACACCAACTCATGGTCTGCTCTTAATTCCCTGTTGTTGATATAATTCACAGATGCAGTTCATGGAGAGAATCCTTTTTTTAAGGTCATTACCATATAGATTGGGTTCTTCAGAAGAGGAAATTTAGAAATCTATTGCGTTCAAAGAAATCTCTTATTCTTCAGACCTTTCAAGTCAGCCAGTTTACAAAGCAAAGACAGGTTCTTGTTTGATACTTTTCCCAATGACTATATTTTAGAGATATCCTCTTTCCTCATTGTGTTTAGAGTCATACTTGATGGGACTGACTGCCTTCCTTTCAGAAAGGAACATGGTTATCCAGAAAGAGGAATAGAGCAGCGAGAAGCCCACGGGCCTTTCAATGGATGTCCATAGTTACCCGTCTAAATGAATCCTCACAAAAGTTCTGTCCAAGTTAACTCCTAAGAAATCATGATGATATAGTCTCATTGCTAATGGGCAGGAGTATCTTTAACATCCATAGAGACATTCCATCTCATATTCCTTTGTGATTTGTGCTTGTTACAGCTTTATTGATGGTATGCTTATATATTTGAGTACATCCCCAGTGATTTGGGCACATACACCTCAGTGGGATGGAAGGACATAGATGGACTTAAGATGCCAGCATTTTTTTTTTT